AGCAGCAGGTATCTGGTCTGGTGCCCGAGAGGAGGTCAGCCCCAACCTTGGGGCCCAGCTGTCTGCTTTCCCTTGAAGGGACCCTGGACACCTGCCTTGAGGAGATGCTGCCAGGAGCACGGAACTGTGCCAGTCCTGGGGCTAAAGGCCTGAAGGGAGCTGCGCTTGTGACCTCACTCTGTGGTGTGGCTTTGCCAAGCCCAGTGTGGACCCAACAGCTGCAGTTTTTACAGTCTGAGTGTTCTTACTGTGCTCACATGAAAGGAACCACCTTGTCTTCAAGGGTAGACAGTTGTATGTGTGCTCATAAAGCAACCAGCTATCGTGGGAGCTCAAGTCATCAGAGAGAGAAGGTCCCTGGGCTGTTACAAGGAAGTGGCTTTTCAGTGTCCTTCACATTTGCTGCTTTGGGAGACTATGCAATGATGGAAAGATGATTGTCTCTTGTTTATTTCATTCTCTCGGTGCCATAGTCCCTGCTATTGTAGTAATTTATTTCTTTAGTTCCTTTTTTCTTAACAGTTAAGGGGAAGAGTCATTCCTCACACTGCTTTCAAGCTGGACTGAGCCAGTCTCATTCTGGAAAAGATAGGCTGTATCCAGGAGAACTAAGCAGCTACATCAAAATGTATCGATGGCTTTTAGGCAAGAAAGCAGTGCTTGAATACTTGAAACTGTGCTGTCAGAACGTTGTTTGTAGACAATATGCCATGATGTAATCACCTATCTCCACGTCTGTTATCAAGTTGCACTGTGAAGTTTGCCACTCTTTTAGGGTGGTCATCAAAGACAGATTGCTTGTTGTTTAACCGAGTGTCCTAAAGCATGTACCTGATGTTATATCATTATTTTTTATTCTAAAAAGCTATGCAGCTTATATTCTGAAAACTATTAAAAAATATACCACTGGTGTTGTAAGTTGTGATCATTCTTAGAAATCCAACAGGAGTACAGAGGAGGAAGGATCTTGTCTGCTGGGTCAGTCAGCTGTCACTGCCTTAGGCTAACATGACCCCCAACATCAGTGGCTTTACATCCAGTAAGGGTTTACTCCGTACTTGTTTCCATGTCCATGGAGGGTAGCTGCAGCATGCGGGCTCGTGATGGTGGAGAAATGGCGAGTTGGTGCGGACACAGTGGCTGCTAAAGATTCTGTTCCAAAATGACACGTCTCTTCCACTCAGATTTCATTGTCCAAGAGCCTTTATGGGACAGGAAGGTTACTCTTCCACCAGGGTGTGATCTGGTAGAGAAAGACACCAACATTATGATAGTGATGGAGTGGTCTATCATCTCTACCTTTACCTGACAGCACCTTCCAAACCGGAGCTTCTCAACTGGTGTGCTAAGACAGCAACTCCCGTACCCCTGGGGGATCACAGGGTCTGGGACAGGAGGAATTCCAGTAAGTAGCTACCGAAGAGTGCCATTTTCAGCATGTGCTGTGATTGGGAAAAGGGTTAGAAATATGGGAACAGTCACAAGAAACCCATCAGGAACTGACGGGGTGCAGGTCAGACAGACCCTGGCCCAGGGTAAGAAGCATGAGTCACTTAGAAGGTACTGGGGACATGCTTCCTGTGTCACACTCGCTACTTATTCAGTCATTACATCTGCCTTAACTTCTCTTTCTTCATCCAAACCCGAATCTTGTCTGCTCTACCTTCTGGACATTGATCTTATCCTGTCTTCCCTTTTGCTCTTTTCTGACTGCACTGCAGCTGGAATTCTTCCACATCTGTGGCCTAGAGTATTAAGTGGTACCCCAAAGTAATCACTGCTAGCTCCATTTCATCCTACTCAGCATCCAAGGAGATCTTTTCAAAAGTTCCTCCAGGGGTCTCTGTTGTGAAGAGGATATTTATTATTAGCATGACAACTTTGCTGTCCTTTCTCTCCCTGCATCCCCACCACACTATTTGATCTGATCACAGCAGACTACAGGGATCCTAGAATCTGTCCACGTTCTGGGTATTTCATATCTGGAATTCTTTTACCTACTTTGCCTTTCTGACAAACACAGCTCAGATAAGTCTTCCAGGAAGAATGAGCTCCCATATTATGAACTCTGACATCTGTAACACTTCATTGGACTTACGTGTCTTCCTGCCCAAAGCATGAGGCTGAGGACAGGGAGCATATATGACTCATAACAGTATTACCAGTGTCTAGCATAAATGTTCCTGGAAGGGAAGAATAAATGGGATAAAAATACCTGTTCTCACACATTTATTTATAGATTGAACAGTCAACATTTTAATAAAGATCCTATGATGATTTAGAGGGAAATGATATAAAATATTTCTAAAGGTTATACAGAACATTAATAGTATAAGATTTGTACAAGAAATTACAGGGGAGTCTTCTTGCCAGATAATAACAAAAATTAAAAGCAATGTAATTAAAAAGAATATGTATAATTAAATAATATAATTTAAAACGAGATGAAATAATCCTAAACAGATTATTCAAATCCTAAGAGAATTTACCATATGGGCATCACAAAGTCCAGGAAGAAAAATAAACTATTAAATAGCATCCAAATTATAGTTTAGCAGCTGAAAAAACTTAAAATCCGCATCATGCCATGAATAAAAATAAATTCTAGATGGATTAAATATTTTAAACATTTACAATGAAAAAGTAAAACTGAAAAGCCTCAAAAGATAAATATACATTGTATACTAATGAAACAAAGTCATGACAACAAAATAAGTGTAACTAAAAGTGGTCAGGAGGACAGATACATGCAAAAAAATAAAAACTAGACTATCAACTTACACCATATACAAGAATAAACTCAAAATGGATAAAAGACTTAAATGTGACTCATGAATCCATAAGAATCCTAGAAGAAACTGTAGGCAACAAAATTTCAGACATCATACACAGCAGAATTTTCACTCATACATCACCTAAGGCAACAGAAACAAAGGAGAAAATGAACACATGGGACTACGTCAAACTCAAAAGCTGCACAGCAAAAGATACAATCATTAAAATGGAAAGGCTACCCACTGTATGGGAGAGCATAATTGCCAATGATATATCAGATAAGGGGTTCATTTCCAATATATATAGCGTGCTCATACAACTCAACAAAAGGAATACAAAGAACCCAATTAAAAATGAGCAGAGGAACTAGACACCTCTCCAAATAGGACATACAAATGGCTAAGAGACATGAAGAAATGCTCAACATCACTAATCATCAGAGAGAAGCAAATTAAAACAACAATGAGGTATCACCTCACACCTGTCAGAATGGCCGCCATCAACAAATCATCAAACAACAAGTGTTGGCGAGGGTGTGGAGAAAAGGGGACTCTAGTACGCTGCTGGTGGGAATGCAGACTGGTGCAGCCACTATGGAAAACAATATGGTGTTACTGCAAAAAATTAAAAATTGAACTTCCATTTGACCCAGTGATCCCACTTCTAGGAATATACCCTAAGAAGCCTGAAACACCAATCAGAAAGAATATATGTACCCCCATATTTGTAGCAGCACTATTTACAATAGCTAAGATCTGGAAACAGCCCAAATGTCCATCAGTAGACAAATGGATAAAAAAGCTGTGATACATGTACACAATGGAGTACTATGCAGCTGTAAGAAAGAAAGATCTCTTATCCTTTGAGACAACATGGAGGGACCTGGAAAGTATTATCCTAAGTGAAACAAGCCAAACAGAGAAAGACACGTATCATACGATCTCACTTATTTGTGGAATATAATGAACATAACAGTCTGAGGAATGGGGTAGTCCCAGAGACGTGGAAGTGGGGTATAGACTGACAATCCCCAGAAGAGGGGGTGGTGGGGGAGAGATAAACCACAGAACTTATATGCATGTTTGCATGAACAATGGACATGGACAACAAAGCTGGGGACAGGGTAGGGAGGGATGGGGAAGGGGGAATCAGTGGGGGGAAAAGGAGAAACATCTGTAACAAAAATTAAATATTTAAAAAAATACTTGCTAAAAATTAAAAAAAAAAGTGGTCAGGAGGAGTATTTAACTTCACTAATATTTAAAAGAAAAAAATCAAGTTGCTACTGATAGACAAATTCAGAAAAAGTGATCATGGGGTAAGCCTGGTAATGCTCAAGAAAGCTCATTATTTGAGGGTGTACACGTGCCACATCCTGTTCTCAGTGCATTACATATACAACAATGGAGGGAGATGCTATCATCTCACTTCACAGACGGGGAGAGGTTAAGTTGCCAGAACACAACTAGGAAAAGGGGGCACAAGATTCCAAAAAGCGAGGCAACAGATAATTGAACATTTTTGTAAATGTTCATCAAGTAAACAGGTAATTGAATGAACAGGTTTGGTTGTATTTTAATTCAGAACAATCCTATTTGGAAAAGTAATATAGCCAGATTCACTAACCCCACTTATAGTAATATAACCTAAGTGCTTGTGTGTGTTTTGGGGAGGACAAAATAATTATGAAGAATTATAGGGATCTGCATTTCCTTATTAGTGATACACAATTATTAAAACTGCAATGGGGCAGCCATTTAAAGACTCGGAACTAAGGAGGATCTTGAAGGCTACCAAGCTACCAGGAAAATGATTGCAAAAGAAAGAGTGGATGAGAATGTGAAAAAAGAAGAGCAGGACACAAATTTTAAATAAAATTAACATTTAAACTTCTAATATTTCTAACTACACACATTCAAAAAGCTCAAAAGGAGTACACCAAAATAATTACCCCCCTCACCTCCAAAAAACTTGAACTTCCATTTAATGAAACTCATAACCATGTGACAAGAACTGTGCTACGTGCCCGTCCACTCTTACTTCATTCTCAACAATCTCTGACACAGAAATTGCCATCCCACTTTACCGATGAGAAACTCAGGCTAAAACAACAAACTGCCTATAAGTCTACTGAGCTCCTGATTCTAAATCCCTGCTCTGCAGGCCCTCTCCCAGGAAACCTAGCTCGCCCCGCCCCTTGTCCCGCCTCCACTTCCGCTCCTGCGCACTATGACAGCACTGCCTGAAGGACATGGCCACTTCCCGCTTACCCCCAGCGACACTAACGCTAAAGCAGGTACCAGCTGTTCTCACGGGTCCTTCTAGGAAAGCTTTCCCGGGTCTAAGCTCAATTCTCCGTCTGTTCCCTACACCCAATCTAGGAGGGCGTCTGGGAGCCGCGGGCGGTCCTGCGCGCGCTCTGATTGGCCTGGGCCGGAGGGGGCGGGGCGCGGGGAGGACAGGGGCCGTGCGCGGGTGGAGACCTGTCTTCCAGGCTCCAGGTTCCAGCTCCAGCTCCAGCTCCAGCTCCAGGCTCCAGGCTCCAGGCTCCAGGCTGATGGCGGAGGCTGGGCAGGCTCTTGATCTCAGAGCCTGACGCCTCGGCTGCCCAATGCCCACTGTGAAAACTGCTCTGCCTGTTATCCTGAGCTATGGTAAAGAGCAAACGAGGTTACCAGCGGATTTTAACATCTTGTTAATTTAGAAAAAGCGCTGTTATTGTGGTTACAGTTTCTAGGAGTCTGATAGCCCTTTCTTCTGCCCGATAGCCCTTGATTTTAAGGGTTCTTATGTTTCACGGAGGAGTAAGCAAACAGCCCAAATAAACTTGTCGTTTTATTAAAAGGAAAAAAGAAAACAGAATTTTTCTTTGCCCTTTTCAGAATTAAGGACCAAAGAGAAGTTACCTGTTTACAGTTTGGTCTGCGAAAGTAGAGCCCTCTGGGCTGTCGATTGTGCAGTTGTAATTGCCATTTCTCCTCCCTGTACAGTTCTTGAGAAGGCAACAAGTTCTCCTTCTCTACAGAAGGATCTTGCAAGCAATTCGACAAGTTCCAAATGATTCTGATCGCAAATATCTGAAAGATTGGGCAAGAGAAGAATTCAAAAGAAACAAAAGTGCCACTGAAGAGGTAAGAACAAGACCATATAATGACAGGCCCAGACCCTTTTTTGTATTGTTCAGTGAATTTGAAAAAATGTTTAGTAGGCATCTTGGACTATAAATGTCACTGAGATGGTATATCCTCATCATGGCTCTAATGTTACTGATTTTCCACTGTCTTAAATATTTAAAATTTTACAGTCTTTGCTACAGCTACATTCTATACTAGACTAGCATCAACTGACTTTTCTCTTAACATCCCGCCCCCTCACACACACACCCACAAACAGATTATAAATTTTACAGCATGATGGTTTGGGAAGAATGACTGATAAACATTGTGAACTCCTGATTGTTAGCTTTTGGCTTCCCTGATATGCAGCAGTTTGAATTCTCAGTATTGGTTCTTGACTTTAACAAATACAATATAACAGATGTGCCTTGATTAACCAGGTAAAATAGTGACCAGATTTCACTTTCTCCTACAGGATACAATCCGGATGATGATTACACAAGGCAATATGCAGCTCAAGGAGTTAGAAAAAACACTTGCTTTAGCAAAATCTTAACTATAGCATTATCCCGAAAGATTTTCAAAGTCTCCATGTGTCTTGTTGAGGTTAGGCTCAACGACGGCAGCCCAAAGCCAAGTCAAACTGTTTGTATGTACAGCACTCTAGCAAAATATCAGAACATGGAGCCTGGCATGTCACAGAGCAAAGAAAAGCCCCATCGGAACAATTGCCGTAACACTGAAAAACATATCCTATATTTTGAAAATATTTCTGGATTTGTCAGAAGGTTTTGTAAAAAGCAAAAAAACCTGTACAACAAATGGTTAATTAGAACATAAAACAATACTCAACACCATTATTTATCTGGGAAATGCAAATAAAAACTACAATGAGATACTACACACCCACTAAAATGGCTGTAATTAAAAAAGGAGAGGGTAACAAATCATGGTGAATATGTGGAGAAATTAGAACCCTCATACATTGCTGGTGGAAAGAAAAAATAGTGCAGCTACTTTGGAAAACACATTGTCAGTTACTCAAAAGGTAAAACATAGTTACCTGACTCAGCAATTTTACTCCTAGGTTTCCAACCAAGAGAAATGAATACACACATCTACAAAACACTTGTACACAAATGTTCATAGCAGCAAAATTTCATAATAGCCAAAAAAGTAGAAACAATCCAAATGCCCACCAACTGATAAATGGATAAATGAAATATGGCATATCTATACAATAAAACATTATTCAGCAGTAAAATGGGGAATGAAGTACTGATACGTGCTACACACAGATAAACCTTGAAAACTTAAGTGAAAGAGGCCAATCACAAAAGATCATATACTGTTTAATTTCATTTATATGAAATATGTGGAATAGGCAGAAAGATTAGTGGCTGCTAAGGCTTTGGGTGGAATGGGGAATAACCTGATCTAGGTTTTCTCTGTGGGGTGATGAAAATATTCTAAAGTTAGATTTTGGTGTTGGTTGTACAACTCTGTGAATATACTAAAATCCATTGAAATGCACATTTCATATGTATAGTATATGAATAATACATCAATAAAGCTGTGTTTATTTTAAAAAATTTTTTTCCTTGACCCAGAGACGTGGAAGTGGGGTGCAAACTGACAAACCTCAGAAGAAGTGGACGTGGGGGGAGGGAAGAGATAAACCACAGAACTTACACGCATGTACGTGTAAACAAGAACATAGACAATGATGCTGGGGCGGGCAGGATTGGGAAGAGGGTATCAATGGAGGAAAAAAAATCTGTAACAAAAATAAAGTTTTTAAAAAAATCAATAATTTTTACATGTTGAAATGATACATATTTTTTAAAATGATATTTGGGATATATTGGGTTAAATAGAATATTGAAATATAAAAAAAATTTTTTTTCTTTATTGATTTTAGGAAGAGAGAAAGGGAGATGGAGAGAGAGATAGAGAACATCGATTGACCACCTTCTGCACACCCCCATTGGGGATTAGGCCCACAACCTGGGCATGTGCTCTGATCGGGAATTGAACCAGGGACTTCTTGGTGCATGGATCGATGCTCAACCACTGAGCCACACCAGCTAAGCTATTTTCTGATTTTTAAAAAATTGAGATATAATTGACATACAACATTGTACAAGTCAGTAAAGTTGTTTTGAAAAACAGTATGAGATGTAGGATTGAGAGTGTACTGACCGCAGGAGATAACCTGGAACTTTCTTGAAAATTCTTCTGTATTACCCTTCAGGGTTATTGAGGTATGTTCTTCAGATGTGTCATCATCTGATACTCGGAAAGATCACTACTGGGATTCTAGATCTTTGTTGGAGAGGGAGGAGAAAGAAGCTTAATGAACACCTTGAACACCAAAAGAAGAGGCAGTTTCTTTTTAGGCAACTTCTGGATGAAACTAATATGATTACCTTAACATGCATGTACAAGTACAATAAATCATTAGGGAAGACCCTCAGTGCAGTAGGTTCTCCAGTGACAAGAAAAAACAAAGAGTTTGAAGAATACATGAGAGAAAGAAGTGGATTTAAGAACACTTTTGAGAGACCGAATGTGTAACAATTTAGTCAAAGTGACAGTTCGTGGTAAGAGGCTGGGATTGGCAGTCCTGCAGACTGAAGTCCTCTGTTCATCTACAGAACAGATCTAAAAAATTAATCCAAGAATCTGACCAGCACCTGAAAGATACAGAAAAAAAATACACAGATTGAAAAATGGTATCTAGTATTGGACTGTGTGCCCTAGGCCAGGCATATGCTAATGGTGGCATATGTCAGTGACCTGCATGGCCAGGGTCCGCCTCCAGGTCCCACAGTATCAGAGTCCACAAGACAAAAGAATTCTGAATACTCTTCCACAGGGTAATCTACTAATTCAAAACACTTGCATGAGACAATCTTTAGATTTTTATAAAGATGTGCATTAGTCAACCTACTGCAAAGCCATCTGATGAGAAAAGCATTTGTGAATAGTTTCTGAACAGAGAACACTTTATGAATATTCTTTATGTAGCATGGTTGACATACACACTCAAGTATGGGCTGTCTCTAGCAAATTTTAAATCCCCAAACTAAACTCGTCCTTTTATGAGGCGAGGACGTCAGTGACGTGATGTTCTTCCCAGCAGTGGTGTAATGGAAGACAGCACATTTGTGGTTTGAATTTGCAAGATGCAAATACCAGACTCCAAGAAAACCTAACTTGGAGTTTGTTTTGTTTTTTAAAGTTGGTAAAACACTGAAAATTAAATTATTACCTTCCAGAAGCTAAGATTATAACAGACAAGCTTTTACTTCATTTCTAAAGAACAGGTTATTTGTTCACTTATATGCTTTGAATATTACCTCTGAATTATAGGCCAAGTGTGTTGTTTAGCCTAAGATGACTTATTTAGCAATTTCTTCTCACATATGAAACCATGGTCATTAACTAAGATGCTGGCCAGGTAGAACTGCTAGTGAAATACATTTTATTCACCATCTTTATCAGTCTTCTGCATCAGACAACAAATTACCTTCCTGGTGTTCCATGTAAACTACTCTTGTTTGAATGTGAAGGTTTTGTTCCCAAAGTTTAATTTTAAGAAGTCTGAATGTTCAGTATATGCATTTGAAAATAAATCAATCTTTGTATTAAAAAAATTTTTTTTAATACAAAAGCTTTCTAGTAAATGAGAAGTGGCTAAGGCTCTTTATCATTTAGCATATTGACTGCCCCTGGGTCATTTCCCCTTTGAAATGTGCCATCAGGTTGGAAATGTTAAATTAATGGCACAGGCAATGCTATGAATGTGCCTGCAGAGACAGATGGCTGAAATCTGAGGGAAGCAGAACGCATTTCCTGGTGCGTGTATTACTGTAGTCACGGAAGCAGGCACTCGAGCTGAGAGGCAAAGACCCCTACTTACCTCAGTTCTCTCCCATGGAGTAAGGAAAATGCTGGTAGAAAAACAAAAGGAAGAGCTCACATGTCCTTTGGGGAAAAAGTGTTGGGATTATGTAGAATAAGATCCAAACAGGATAAAAAGCAAATTGTCACTCTGCCAACTAGAAATTGCCATAAGCTATTTTCTTCCTTGAGTTGGGTATTTGAGAAATAATACCACAATTAAATTAAATCTATTATTTGTTTATTGAGAAGAGTGAGTCACTTTTTACCCACTCTATTTTGTACTTTAAAAAGTGCTTTGCTATACTGTGTCTTGCTTTTGTGTTTTTAATTTAAATTAGTATATTCACATTTTATAGTCACAATATTTGACTTAATATAGGAAAAGAATATTTCCCCTTAAATAAAATTACAAGATACATTTTTTTTTTTTTCATCCTCACCCAAGGACATTTTTCCATTTTTTGTACAGACAGAGTGGGAGGGAGAGAGAGAAAGAGAGAGGGAAACATCGATGTGAAAGGGACACATCGAGTGGCTGCCACCCACACGACCAACCAGGGCCGGGGACAAACTGCAACCGAGGTACATGCCCTTAGCAGGAACCGAACCCGGGTCTCTCCGGACCGCAGGTGGACGCTCTAACCGCTGAGCCAAACCGGCCAGGGCACAAGATACATTTCTTTTTATCCTCATCTGAGGACATTTTTCCATTTTTTGTTCAGATAGAGTGGGAAGGAGAGAGAGGAAGAGAGAAACATCAACGTGAAAGGGACACATCGAGTGGCTGCCTCTCGCATGACCCAACCGAGGCCGGGGACAAACTGCAACCGAGGTACGTGCCCTTAGCGGGAACCGAACCCGGGTCTCTTTGGACCGCAGGTTGACGCTCTAACCACAGAACCAAACTGGCCAGGGCAACAAGATACATTTTTAGTGTCTTCTTTTCTTGTTCATAAAATGTATTTTAAAAGGTCATTAGTTTTTTTTTTATCCTCACCAGAGGACATTTTTTCATTTTTTTGTTCAGATAGAGTGGGAGGGGGGGGGGAGAGAGAGAGAAACATCAATGTGAAAGGGACACATTGAGTGGCTGCCACCTGCACAACCCAACCAGGGTTGGGGACAAACTGCAACTGAGGACAAATATGCCCTTAGTGGGAACCGAACCCGGGTCTCTGGGGACCGCAGGCCGACCCTCTAACCGCTGAGCCAAACCAGCCAGGGCAATCATTAGCTTTTTAAAACTGGTTTGTCTTTTAAGTCTTAATTGGTCGGCTTTTATATCACAAAATGAATTTTATTTAGGTTTTAGGAACAATATGTTGGTCAAAATAATGTTATCTTTGCCTGCATAAAATTACAAGTAATGTTATCCTTCTTTGTTCAGTATTTTCCAAAAGGTCAACAGTTTAAATAAAACATTTGTTTAAGCTTGCACTGAGAAATCTTTCCATGTTACATAAAGCTTTAAAAAAAATTTTTTTTTCAGGCAGTTCACCTGGTCTCTACTTTAAAGCAGATGTATTTAAATTACACTTTTATGGAAACAGGGTGAAGTATGCTTGGGTGAAGGTACTCTCAGGAACCATAAAATCTGGTTAGCTACACAAATGAAAATGTAGACTAAACAAGTATTCACACTTTCATGTTTTAAATAAGGAATTTTGTATTCATAGTGTTGAGAACCAAGTCTAATGCTTGGAAGAGAGACAAATTCAAGGTGATAAAAATATTAAATGGAAGACAACATACCTCTCAAGTATCAGTGCTTGACTGAAAAAAAGAAGGTATAACATGAAAAGATCACTTCCTTTATTTTGGGCTCCCAAAGTCAAAAGTAAGATTAGAACTGATATTCAGTCTATCACAGATATGTACTGTACTCAAATGCAATAATGCACTAACAACAACACACACAAAAAACACTGCAATACTGTACAAACCTTATGTATTTTACATAATTTTCCCCAGTTACTGAAAGTCCCAGCCTGTTTGAAACATGACCTACATGACAGGCTATAAATTGTTAATAGTTCTGCTTCTTTGGAAAAGTGCTATTGTGGCATTTGCTCGTTTTAGCTGATAGCATGAGGGAAAGATAAGGAAAAATACACATTGGACCCATAGCTGAGTTTTTGACAATACAGAGCAAAAATAGACCAAACGTAAGTTAGAAAACTTACTGCATTGGTCTTGAGACGCTGCCGTCTCTTTGGGTTAGAAGGTGGACTGACCCTGTTCTATTTCCTTGCCTCTGTTATAGGTTTTCCCATCTTTGAGAGACAAGATCTGTGTGCTCCGCAGGCAAGGTACATTTGACCTTTCTCATTCTTCCCTAGTCTCTTCCCTAGCTGTGTCTTAGAAATACCCAGGTCACAATAACAAGCTGCCTGCTTCGGGTGGGTAGGATGGGCACACAGTCAAATACCTCCCACCAAAGCACACTATGTTCTGAAGGTACCATCTAGCTCTACAATTCTGAGACTCTGCATTAGGAATAAAAAGAGGAAAGTACCCCTAACAGGTAGCAACCCCCAGAGAGTCTCTGGGGAAGAACCATTGATCTACACAGTAGCTGAGGAACAAGACAAGCTTACAAACATGAAAATAAGCTTGAGAGCATCAAATTAATTCCCTATCCAGGTTCTGTAATGCCGACATATGTCTACATGGATGAGGAATGTCTATATCCATAGATTGTCACTATTTAGGAAAACAAAAACAACTGAGTTTGGAAGGCAAAAAACAAAGGGACTTTGTTTTTCTGAGTATTTCCATGTCAAGAAGTCACTGTTTTCTTTTTGGCTCAATGAGCAACGTTTTATTCAAAATTACAGATAGTAGCTCCTCAGTTCCTGTGTTTATAGAACTAGAACTGAGGTTTCTATGCATACATGGAATTTTGAGGAGATAAATGTAATACCACATTCCATGGGACAAGAAGTCTGGAAGATAATTCAATTCAAAGATTCAATACACCCAAGCTACTTTCATAACTTTGTATATTGTACCGAGCAGGGTACACGCCTTAGGGCTCTGTGAAGCTGAAGGGTGGAGGTCTAACTCGAGCTGCTGTGTTAGTTACCTTGTTGTGGTCACTGCGAAGCAGTGGGAGGGCTTTGGAGGTTTTTCAATGACAAAACTCAATGAAAAATGAAATACTTCCAAGAAATAGCCTAGTTTCTTTATAAAATACAAACCAGTAAACTCAAATTCAGAAAGGTACTCTGAGATAAATGGGTTTGATTCTGAAGAGGTTGTAGAAGTTCCACGTAATTGTCATGTGAATTTCCCTCCCATTAATCTGCTTTAAAATCACAAGGATTGACTGTAGTATTTCTATATTTTGTCTGAAAATACAGAAAACATGATAAAATGATTTGAATTGTTCTCATTTGAGTTCATTAACAAACATTCCCAGTGCTATTACCCAATGACTTGTTTTTAAAATACACACTGACTTTTCAAAACATTTTTAATCTATACTGGATCTGGTGACATCATGAAAATCTCTTTCTCCTCAAAATCTGTTACGTTTTCACCGGGTTAAAATATCAGCATTCTGAGAATTGCGCATTTGGTAGAGGGTTTCGCGCCTCTCAGGGACGGCTCCTCCAGAAAGACCCTTGTCTAGGCACAGCAGGTGTGTTGATATGAATAACTGCTTGATTTGAGTTCACAGGGGATTAACTTGCTTCTGATTTATATTATTTTGTACATCCTGAATGTCAGGGTTTAGGCTTACACATCATTCAGTTTCTTAGTTTCTCACTGAATCCGAGCTTTTGAACTTCCGATGAACCTGGACTGAGGTTTGAAATTTGCAAAGACACCTGAAACTAAGCAAGCTTTCCCTGGTTTCGGTTGAATTGTTGAAGTCTTCATGACTTCAGGGCATAGGGAATGCGTGTGTCTGGCACGTTTCAGAAACTGGTGATGCTCTAAAGGCGAGTCTGCTCCATGCACGGTGACGGGCACCGCAGGCGCAGCTCCGGGCGTCCTCGAGGGCCCCGTCTTGTGCCGCTTCCCACGTCCTAGTTTTCCTTCTGCACCTTCGTCCTTAGTTTAGCAAGTTCCTCCTCTAAACTTTTAATATGTTCCTTCAGTGTGGCCTTGTCCTGCTGGGCTTTCTGACTGGCTTGGCTCCGTGCTTCTTCAATCTTCCTTTCATACCACTTTTCCATCTGGGTAGCAACAGCCTCAAAAAAGTACTGCGTGATCTCCAGGGCCTGGGAGGTCTCTCGGACGTGAGGGGCAGTCCGCTCGCTGCCTGTGGCGGGGGGCGGCTGCCCGCCAGTGGTGCCGGGCGCTGGCGGCTGGGCTCGATGCCTCGTCTGCCCACTTTTCCCTGACTTCCTGGTTTGGGTGCCTCGGTCGACGCAGGGCCCGGGCTGCTGATCCCCTCTGGCTGCCTCTTTCAAGGGCAGCAAGGCTGTCTGGACCTTGACATTCCTCAGTCGGGAGCCTGTGCAGTCCGAGGAAGACAGCTCTGGCTGGGGTCTGTGCGCAGCAGTGGAGTTGAGGGCCTTTTCCTTGGGCCTGACCACCTGAGGGGAACTGTCAGAAGCTGCCACTGGACCTGCCGTCACCACGGACTGTTCCACACCTGGTTTGGGAAGGAAGACACAAGTCAGAGCAAATCCAGTCACATGGCTGTAGGTCAGCACCCGAGAGTCCTTAGGACCCTGTAAACCGCCAGCCTTCCCAACCACCAACCCGCGTGCCCTCCTCCGCCCTGCCCTCCCCTCTCCTGATGACCACCTTGGCTTGTCAAGGCTTCACGGACACGGTGCTAGCCATGCTGGTGGCATCTAAACCAAAAAAGCTGCTGGCCTTTCCTTTAGCCTGTCTCAATCCACCCTAGAAGGCTCTGGGTACCATTTCCTGATTGCTAGGGATGGCAGCTAACCAACTGCCTCAAAACAGGACTGGGCATTTATCCACCAGAATGACATCCCCCCCTGACTTCTGGGCCCTCTGCACACCACAGCCCGTTACCAGGTCCCTGACCCAAGCGGCAGTTCTGAAAGGCGGTCGTATTCCCCACACTCAGAGCTCCAGCCCCGGCTCCGTAACTAGTCCTAGCATGAAAAATTTGCCGAGGACTTTCCCCATTGTTATGAGCACAAAGAAGATAAAACCACAGTTCCAGAGATGGTATGTGGTAACATTAGACCCTCGACGTATCAAAATCCCCCATGGAAGCTTAATTGCTAAGTATCTAAATGTCCTCAGAATTATCACTGAGGGTGATCCCTGTGGCTAAGGTAAAGATGCTTTGCTGGAAGCATCTCTTACCTATCCCCTGAGGCAGCTTCGATAGAGGAAGTGCACTTAATGAGGCTTTACAGAGTTGGACAAAGGTAAAAGGCCAGTCACAGAGGAGGAAGGGGGAAGAGGTACAAGGGCACCTGCTGAGGAGACAGACATCCACTCATCGCCCAGTATCTTTGGGGCCCACTCTGACACCATCAACACTGTACCTGAAGCACTGCTATCAACGATCAAACAATTCTTTTATTCCTTCATTCAAATATTTTTGAACACTTAGAGAGGAGTGCTTTATTGCTACATAGGAACTGAGTATTCAGTGGTCAGCAAAACCTGGTCCTTGCACCACAATTTACTTTGCAATCCAGTCTTTCCCCAGCTCTGTCATGTGCAGGACAGAACAAGAGCTGGGGGTTTCATAACCTTGGGGTGGAATGGCTCTCTCTGCACGAGGGTTACCTGTAGAGGACTCGCAAGTAGACGGTGCGGATTTAGCCCTAGAGGCCCTAGAATCTCCGGAAAGCTTCAGTTCCAGATTCTGAATCTTTAACATGCACCAGGTTTTTAATTCATCCATCAAGGACACCTAAAAAAAAAAAAGCCACACAAAACAATCAGGTGAATTTAATACTAATGAATCGAAGTATCAAGAACGGACGTTTTAATTATGAGAGTTGAGAAGCCCAAAAGTTGTGGACAAGCCACCCCCCCACAGGCCACACCCCCTTCTCTGCTTGCCCCCCACAGGCCAGGCATCACCGAGCACCCAGGCGGACACTATAATCTTCATGACATGACTTAAAGCCCAGACACCCAGAGCTGCCCAAGACTTCCCAACTAAGTATTTCTGCCTGCTTAGGAGCATGAACTCCCTACACACACAAGTGCTCACTTTATGTCTTTGTCCTGAGTACACCACACACAGCAACCCAATCTCATTCAACAGAGTAGTGGCCCCACAAATACACAACACCCAGAAATGACTCAGGGAGACACCCCATTTCCCCCAGCGTGTTCTGTGAACTTTCCCATCCCCACCTATCGCTGGCATGTTCAGCAGCAAACTTGAACCAAGACAGGTCCCTTCCTATCAGCCTCACTGCAGAGTTATGCAAACGACACGCATTGTAATGCAAACACATTCAGGGGGCCTGGGCCTGAAGTGCGGTAAATCACAGGGGAGGACAGGCAGACTGGCTCGCACCTGTCGCTTCTCCCCCTCGTGCTTCTCGGCGTCTGCGTGCTGCTGCAGGCGGTTCAGGCACTCCGTTCTCTCTGCTGAGAGCCGCTCGACCATCAGCTTGTCCAGAACACGCATCTAGGATTCAACGGGAAAGAGCACATGACTGAGATGGCCCAGGATGGACCGCCGAGGAGGGGATCTGGGTACCAAACAGGGACCAGAGACAATGCAAGCAAACCTCCCCACTCCGTCTATCCTGTTTTCATACAGTAGTCATGGGGTTCATGTCTCAGAATCCTAAGCAGGAGTCCATGTAGGCCAATGTTTCTTTTTCTCACCTGTTCAAGTTCCTAAAGAGTTTGAGAGACTAGGAATGCACAGTAAATATAAAACCGGAGTCAATGCAGACCTTGTAGGTAAAAGAGAATTTCTATAGGTCTCAGAACAGTGTTCCCATGACGATGATTGAAAGGAGAAACTCTTTTTTTTTTTTCAGGCACTGTTGTATGTACTTTATTTATTTTTTTAATCTTTATTGTTGGATGTAAAATGTATTACAGATGTTCCACATTTTTTCCCCCATTGACTCCCTCCTTCCCACTCCCGCCCCCCTCCCACCTTTTCCCACACTATTGTCTGTGTCCATTGGTTATGCATATAAGTTCTTTGGTTTATTTCTTCCCACCCCCCCCCTCCCCAGCCCCTTTCCCTTTGAGGTTTGTCAGTTTAGCAACCAATTTGTACTTCTTAATCCCTTCACCTTTTTCACCCATTCCCCCAAACCCCCTCCCATCTGGCAACCAACAAAATGTTCTCTGTATCTATGAGAATGTTTCTGTTCTTCCTGTTCATTTTGTTTGTAGATTCCATTGTTGATAGATATGTATTCATTGCCATTTTGTTTGTTCATATATTTTATCTTTTTCTTCAAAAAGACCCTTCATCATTTCATATAATAACGGTTTGGTGGTGATGAGCTCCTTTAACTTTTTCTTGTCTGGGAAAGTTTTTATATGGCCATCGATTCTAAATGACAGCTTTGCAGGATAGAGTAATCTTGGTTGTAGGGTCTTGCTTTCCATCACTCTGAATATTTCTTGCCACTCCCTTCTGGCCTGCAAAGTTTCTTTTGAGAAATCAGCTGACAGCCTAATGGGAACTCCCTTGTAGGTAACTAGCTGCCTTTCTCTTGCTGCTTTTAAGATTCTCTCTTTGGCCCTGGCCAGTTTGGCTCAGCGGTTAGAGCGTCGGCCTGCGGTCCTGAGAGACCCAGGTTCGGTTCCCGCTAAGGGCATGTACCTAGGTTGCAGTTTGTCCCCGGCCCTGGTTGGTTGTGCGGGTGGCAGCCACTCGATGTGTTCCTTTCACGTTGATGTTCCTCTCTCTCCCTCCCACTCTACCTGAGCAAAAAATGGAAAAATGTCCTCGGGCGAGGATAAAAAAAAAAAAAAAAAGATTATCTCTTTGTCTTGAACCTTTTGCATTTTGATGATGATGTATCTTGGTGTGGGCCTCTTGGGGTTCATCTTGTTTGGGACTCTCTGTGCTGAAAGGAGAAACTCTTGCTTCAACTATGAAGCTATTCATTCTCCCTTCAAATGTTAGCGGCGGCCCAAGAGGTAGCGAAAGAAGCCGGACACTCAGGGCTTTCATTCAGCTTTCCCAGGGAACAAATCCTCTTGGTGCTTCATTAGAAGTAGGCCAAGCAAGCGTGAAGAAGGCTCTGGAAGGCGTTCAGCGGGGCTGCTTCAGAGAAGGAGGCCCTCTGGGTGCCCTCTTCATCTGGACATTGCCTGCAGGGCCCTAACGCCCTACAGAGCTGCACCTTCACTGCGCTGACCAGCTCCAAAGAAGAGAAAGGCTTTGTTAGGGGAGCCAGCCCCTGAGGGACCCACAAGATGATCCATACTCAGATTTTTGGAAAAAAAAAAAATACAGCATCAGTTCTGGAGATGTGGGGAGTACCTTCTGTTCTGTCTCTTCAGCCCTCATGATTTTCTGTGAACTGCTCCGTCTTCCACGATTAGCAGCCCACCCCCCCCCGCCGTCCCCTACATAGACGGCTCTGCCAAGACCACCACTTTGATACACGGCTTTGTTCCTGGGCACGCGGGTCAGGCCAGAGCAAGTGCCTGCTGGGCCACAGTCCTTGCCCTGCGATTTGGAAGTAGGACTAAGAGTCTGCGCCCCAATCCATCACCTTCCAGAGCCAGAGAGAGGTCCTGGAGACATCTCAGCATTCACTCCTACAGTCCTCTTTGGGCTTACGCTAGCTAGGGTTTTCATTCACAAAACAGTCTTAACCAACATACTATGGCTCTAAGAAAAGATTTCTTAAATGAGCTTTCCACTAGACGCAGATAGCAAAGCTTAAAAATGTTCCACCTCTTCACTTATATATGTAATCTAAAGAACAGAATAAATGAACAAATGAAAGGAAACAGACTCATAAATACAAAGAACAGACTGACTGATGGTTGCCAGAGGGGAGGGGCCTGGGGGGCTGGGTGGAAAAGGTGAAGGGATGAGGAGCACAGACGGGAAGTTACAGAATAGTCACAGGATGTCAAGCACAGCACGGGGATACAGCCAATGATGCTGTAATAACTATGTAGGGTGCCAGGTGGGTACAGGAAAGACCGGGGATCACTCTGTAAAGTATATGATTGTCTAACCACTATGCTGTACACCTGAAACTAATACAAAATAAAATTTTAAATTTATTGATTTTAGAGAGAGAAGAAGGGAAAGAAAGGGAAGGAGGGGAGGGAGAAAGAGACAGGGAGAGAGAGGGAAAGAGAAAGAGAGAGGGGGAAAAAACATCAGTTTGTTGTTCCACTTATTTACTTATTCATTGGTTGACACCTCCTGTATGTGCCCTGTCAGGGGCTGAACCCACAACCTTGGCGTATTGGGATGATGCTCTAACCAACTGAGCTACCTGGCCAGGGCCAAAATAAGTGTAAACTGTAATTAAATATTTTTAAAAATATGTTTTATTGATTTTTTAGAGAGAGGAAGGAAGAGAAAGAAACATCAGTCGACTGCCTCCTACACACACCTTACTGGGGATGGAGCCCGCAACCCGGGCATGTGCCCAACAGGGAATCAAACCAGGACCTCTTAGTCCATGGGCCGACGCTCAGTCCACTGAGCCACATCGGCCAGGCAATAATATATTTTTTTAATGTTCAACCTCACCAACAAACAAGGAAATAAAAATTAAACTTTAAATGTCCTTAATTTGGCAAAAACTTTGAAGAAATGATAATATTAAATGATGAAAAACTCAGACACTGCTGGTAGCATATCAATTGGTGCAACCTTTTTTAAAATAGGTTTTTATTGATTTTTTTAGAGAGAGAGATAAAAACATTGATGAGAGAGAGAAACAGCAATTGGCTGCCTCCTGCACACCCCCTACTGAGGATGGAGCCTGAAACCTGGGCATGTGCCCTGACTGGCAATTGAACTGGGACCTCTCAGTCTATGACACTCAATCCACTGAGCCACACTGGCCAGGCGGTATAACCTTTCTATTAAGTAGTTTGCCAATAATTATCAAGAGCTGTAAACATATTCTTAACTTTGGATCCAGTTATCCCAATTTTGAGCAAATAATCTGAGAAGTAATCAGTACCTGAAAAGCAATCAAAACTTTATGCCCGCCCTGGCCAGTTTGGCTCAGCGGTTAGAGCATCAGCCCGCAGACCAGACCAAAGAGTCACGGGTTTGAGTCCAGTCAAGGGCACATACCTCGGATTTGGTTCGGTTCCTGGTCCTGGCTGGGGTTGTGCAGGAGGCAACCAATTGATGTGTCTCTCTCACGTCGATATTTTTTTCTCTCTCTCTCTGGCTCCCACCCTCCCTCCTACTCTATCTGAAGATAAATGGAGAAATATCCTCGGGTCAGCATTAAAAACAAAAAAGTTTATGCCCCTAAATGTTCATCATAGAAATGTAAGTGAAAAATTATAAGCAACGTTACAGTCTAACTAAAAGTAATGGTTAAATAAACTACGTTGGCCTGGCCGGTGTGGCTCAGTGGCTGAGCATCAACCCATGCACCAAGAGGTCGTCAGTTCAATTCCCAGTCAGGGCACATGCCCAGGTTGTGGGCCCGATCCTCAGTGCAGGGTGTGCAGGAGGCGGCCAATCAATGTTCTTTCTCATCGATGTTTCTATCTCTTTCTCCCTCCCTCTCTATCTAAAATCAATAAAGAAAAAAATGTTATAAATAAATAAATAAACGATTAATATGCTGTATTAATATGCTGTACTATGAACCAAGGCCAAGGGAAAATGTTCCTAATATAAAATTAAGTTAAAAAAAGCAGGCAGCATAATTGTGGAACCTCCACACACAGGAATAGTACTTCACCATTAAAAAGTACATCATAGCTTTAGATGTTTAAGACAGCTTACTAAATTTAAAAGTAAGCTAAAAAAAAAAGCAGAGCATGGTTCCATTTTTGTTTAAAAGTGATAATGTCATAGGTTACTATCTATACACAAGAAAAACCTATGGGAAAATACACCAAACCAAGAGTAAAGAGATCTCTGAGAAGAGTCAATATGAAAGATTGTTGTGCAATGTGAAATTTCCCCCCAATAAAAATGTTATTTTGTAAGTTAAACTATTTTTACATTTCTTACTAATTTACAAAGGGAAAATGTACCTTTACAATGGCAAGATAGTGGTTACCAGCTTATCCAAATGATCAAACTGAGCATCATTAATAATGTGCCTCCTGATGTGATATAATTTGAAGTTTACATCATTGACTATGAAGTATTCTTGCCAAAAAAAAATGTCTAACCTGAATCTAAATAAGCATCTACACCAGTGGTTCTCAACCTTCCTGGTGCCGCGACCCTTTAATACAGTTCCTCATGTTGTGGTGACCCCCAACCATAAAATTATTTTCATTGCTACTTCATAACTGTAATTTTGCTACTGTTATGAATTGCCATTGGAAATATGTGTTTTCCGATGGTCTTCAGTGACCCCTGTGAAAGGGTCGTTCGACCCCCAAAGGGGTTGCGACCCACAGGTTGAGAACCACTGATCTAGACCAATGTTTCTCAAACTTTAGGTGCACCAGCATTACCTGAAGGTCTTGTTAAAACACAGGTTGCTAGACATTACCCCCAAAGTTTTATTCACAATAAAACTAAATTCAGTATATCTGAAATGAGGCCCAAATCTGCATCCCCTCTCCCCCCTCCACCAAGTCCTCACTGATGCTGGTGCCGCTGGTCAGGGGACACTCTGAGGACCGCTGCTTGAGACTGCCTCTCAGTTTATAGACATGCCGGGTTAGAGGAACAAGTTAGATAACACCACAAAGAAACCACCAGAAAAATCCAGAACACAGAGCACTCTGTACAACAATCGGCCTGGGCTCTTTCAACAGTTAATACTATAGGAGGGGAAACAAGCTGAAGGAAGGAATTGGGAACTGTCCCAGGTAAAGAGATCACAGTAGTAACGCAAATTCACAGAAGAGTCGCTGGATCCTGGGCTGGCATTTAAAATGAAAACCTGATAAAAACCACTATGCGCCCTGGCCGGTTTGGCTCAGCGGTTAGAGCGTCGGTCTGCGGTCCTGAGAGACCCGGGTTCGTTCCCGCTAAGGGCATGTACCTCGGTTGCAGTTTGTCCCCGGCCCTGGTCGGTTGTGCGGGTGGCAGCCACTCGATGTGTTCCTTTCACATCGATGTTTCTCTCTCTCTCTCTGTTCCTCTCTCTCCCTCCCACTCTACCTGAACAAAAAATGGAAAAATGTCCTCGGGTGAGGATAAAAAAACAAAACAAAAAAAACCCACTATGCTGTACACCTGAAATGAATACAAAATATTGACTGTAAACTGGAATTAAAAAATAAAAATTTAAAAACAAACTAATCCAGCTATAAAAAAAAAAAAATTTGGGAGAATTGAGAAAATCTGAACTGGGTATTATACCATTGTTATCAATTTTCTCAGATATGATGGTGGTGAAAGTCCTGAGTCAATGCATCGAACATACTCGGAGGTGGGGGCTCATCAGTGCAGCAAGAGGGAAGCGTGTAGACACCAAGCAAAGGTGGCGGCCCTGAGCCCGGCCCAGGCGGGCCATACGGGCATTCCTCATACTCTCATCTCTACCTTCCTCTATGCTTGAACATTTTCAGAATAAAAAGCTTGGAAGAAGAAAAAACTTTAGACATGATCACTTTAATTTTGTGTGTAATGGGAAAGGGGTGTGGAGCACATAGACGTATAAAAAGACTGGAAGAAAATAAACCCAAATATTAATACTGTTTTTTCATCATGGTAGGCTTATAGAGGATTTATTTTCCTTTCTAATTTTCATACCTTAAAAAATGCTCTGTAATAGGTACATATTACTTTTATAAACAGAAGCACAAACATGTTCTTTAAAATTTTAAATAAACAAGCGTTAACAGAAACACAGAGCTGGCCCCTCCCTGCCAGCCCACCGACAGGCTCAGGGCAGTTGGCAGAACAGAAGTGTGCTCGGGTATCTGTCCCATCCCAGCTCCCACCAGAACACCTCTCCATGCAGAGGCTGAGGGGCTCACTCACTTGGTGCTGGGTCTTACTCTCCATGTGCCCCAGCTTTGTATTCATTTTATCCTGAACTGATCCCAGCTCCACTTTGATCTCCTCCACAGTGGCCTCCAACTGATTCTCCAGCTTGCTGATCAGGGGCTCACATCGACAACCATTTACTGGCGCCTAAGAGGAAAACAAAAAAGGAACCAATCCAACTCATTTGTTCCTTCAAGAAATCGGTTTTGAGTACCCATCTTATGCCATTATAAGTACTTATCAGCACAGCAGGGGGTACAGAGGATGAAGACACTCAGCCCTGGCATAACTGTGGAATGTCCCATGGGCCAGATGTTGGGTCCAATAGGCACTAGCGGATTCAGAGGGGATAGTGTGGTCCCAATCCTTGGGCTGCTTTTATCCACACCAGGCCCTCGAGATTATCTAGTCACTATCTAGCGACAGGTTTGTAACCCCTCCGCTTGCCTGGGCCCAAATGACAGCAGCTGAACCTCATGGTTTAGGTGGCGTGGGCCATCTGCCTTCTCCTCAGAGCTCATATCTACTTAAGCCAATGCCTAAAGTGGATGTCAGCCCCCAGACATAGTGTCCAACAGCCAACTTGCTGAAGGCCTCCAGTCCCATGTCCGGCTCGGCAGGTACCTGCATCACTTTCCCGTCCTTGCCCCGGTACAGCGTGTACAGCTGGTAGGCTCGGAACTCGTGGGGAGGGGGTGGGGGTGAACATCGATGCCTGGGCCTCTTTTTCTGGTGATTATGAGCATGTACGTTCTTCTGGTGTCCAGGCTGTTGGTCTGCAGGTGGGGTGGGGTCAGAAAATGCTGACACCTGTGGAAGAGGAAGAGACAACACCCTTCAATGTGGTGACAGCTGCAAGATTGACCCCCGGCCAGTGGCTCCTGTCTCCCCCACTTTGGGGCAGAGAACCCCACCTGGCTTCATCTCATGGCATTCTACCGCAAGTACCACATGTCCAAAGAAATGCATCAGCACGCCAACCTTGTGTCTGACATTAACCAGATTCACGTTCTGTGCTCTGGCTCCAAACCAGCCAGCCACGTGAAGGAGCTTTTTAGCTGTCGGGCCTGACACTATCCCAGGGCCCTCCACCAACTCGGCTGCTTTCACGTGCCTCCTGACCTTGGGCCTTGACTTTCTCCTCCTGTTGTCCTTTGCTCGGGGCTCTGGGGAGGCCGACAGGAAATCTTCTCTGGCCTCTTCTTTTCTGGGTGCTGCCTGATCACTGCTAGGGGTGTCTCCTGCCGAGACACTTCCCTACAGAGGAAAGAAAGCCCAGAAAACTGTTCTCCTCGCCCCCTTGGCCTTTTCCAATCACAGGGTAAGATTCTGTCTGCAGGACCCCATCCCCACAGGACCCACGGGAACCTTCGCCGATGACACACTTCAGCACAGGGCATGGCTTCATGGTCGTAACCGAACATGTGCATTTTCCCCAGCCAGCTGAATATTTGGGTCTTACTTTATTAGGCATCAAACTAAATAAAATCTTAGGTCTAATTCTATGTGGATTTCAGGAACCTCAGCATGAGAGAGTTCTGGTCTTTTGGATTTCAACAGAAAACCACCCCACTCATTCTCTGGACTTGGACCCTCACAATTTAAAGCAGAGCGTAACCTCGGAAATGAGAAAACAAAGTTTCTGGTCCTTGTGAGAACTTTTATAAATTAATTGTACAATTCACACACAGGAACGTAATCAGTTACGAAGCCTTAACCCTGGGTATTGATAAGAGGATTTGAAATAGCAGAGAAAGTACTGGGCATAAAACTTTATTGTCCCGAGTGCTCTCCTATCCCAGGGGGCAGCTGAGACAGCGGGTTCCTTCCAGGCTGCCGAGTCGCCGTGCAAGCTGTTCACTGCGCACGGCCACCTCGCCAAGGGGTAAGTAGGGCACAGGGAGCTGAAATCCAACTTAGGCTCTATTCGCCATATGTCCCGTGCGGGGGTGGTCTGCCCAGAGAGCATCTTCTTGTAATTTTCACAAGAGGGCCATATGGACGAACACAGCCTCAGGCCACTCCCTAAGCAGAAAGGGAGGAAGCAACCAATGCCCCCGGCTCCGCAAGCTGAATCCACCTCAGAACCCCTGGAGGACTTGTTTAAACACTGATTGCTGGGCCCCACCCCGGGGTTTCTGACCCAGGGATCTGAGGGGAGGCCCCCGAATCTGCATTTCTAACAAGGCCCCAGATGGCAGAGTGCCCACCGCACTCAGAAAAGCTCTGCTTTCCACTCATGGGCACAGCGGCAGAGCGGCAGTGCTGGCCACAGACACGGGCCAGCCACCAGCACACCAGGGGCTGGGAAAGACGGGCACACGGTCTGACGTCCCGGAGCAGGGGAGGCGAGAAGACACAGGGCACAGAGGGCCGTAGTCTGAAGGACCCCAGTGGAAGGAGGAGACAGAGGGCGTGGCAGCCGCCGGTGAAGCCAGGGAAGGCGGGAGGAGGGCCCACCGCAGAGCAGGTGAGCGGGGAGGGGCGGAGGGTTACCCCCCACCTTGCTTTGTGCCACCTCATCTCTTGGCACAGACTGAGCTCTCCTCTCTTCCTTGAGCCTCTCTCTCTTTTTCCTCAGACTTCGCCCACGGCTGAAGCGCAAGACCTGAAGGAGGCAAGAGGCACTGTTACAAACCTGTGGAGCGCGGTCCTGAGAGTGCTGTCCTGGGGCCTGGCGCTCGGGCAGCGGAATTCCAGCCGGCAGGAGAGACCCGGCACTCAGACCACCTGCAGTGCCTCCCAGATCCTGTGCTGGGCACGTCCGGCCCAGAGACAGACACTGTCCCTGATCTCAAGCAGCTTACAGTCTAAGACAATCGCAGGCATTTAAGTGCCAGGCCAGGGCCACCCCACAGCTGTGTGCAGGCTGTGCACCGCTTAGCTCCAGAGAGCACTGTTCACACCGACCGATGCTATGGACGGCGTCCCTGGAGCTGTGCCAGGTGGCAGCCCTGTGCCAGGCACAGTCCCACCCACTATCTTGGTACACTGGACCCAAACCAGCCGATCTCTTGGTCAAACCATATTCAAGTCATAAAAAATGTGATTAAAAATGATCGAGGTGCATATATGATCTATGGTACCAACCTCAGGGCAGGAGCCTCTTCCTCAAACGGAAGCATTTGGTCAGCCCTCAGAGTGGGGGGAGGGCATGAGCACACAGGGGGCCCGAGACCCAGCAGCTGGCCGCAGGGCCTTTGGACAAGTTAACTGACGCCTCTGTGCTCTCTCTTCTCAAATGTGAACACAGGCGGGGTTGTGGGGTTAACCAAGACAGAGGAGGTCTTGGCTGGTGCACCTGGGACCCTCAGCGACTGTCCGCTGTCTCTGTGCCCACGTGGGCCACTCGGAGCTGCCTAAGTGGCCGAGGGCGCTTTGGCGGCACACAGGTGTCTGAGGCAGCGGAAGCCTTCACCGTTCACCCCTTTCACCTGTCAGGAGGCCCAGAAAGCAAAACACTTTTCAAGTTCACACTATCTTTCTGCAATAAAACAACAGGTTATCGTCCTCTTATATAAATAGATAAGGGCTCTCTGAAGTTCCGCATGGTGTTTTTCATCTCAGTTTCAGACTTTCTTCTCAAGTTCATTATATTCAAGTGACACGATTACCACAAAAAGAACGGGCAGTGGGCATCACGGAAAGGGAAAATCCCCAGCAATATTTGCCCTGCGAATAAACCTGACTTTTAAACCCTATTGTTACCCTCTGAGCTAGCAGTTCTGAAAGTCTAGAGACCCCTGGGCCCATGAAATTAAAACTTTTCTAATATGAAGATACCGTGGCCTTTCTCACGCTCGCTCTCTCGTGAGTGTTCAGTGGCATTTACCCGGGGCTGCAGACATAATAAGGCAACAGACAGCGTGGAAGCCGATGAACCCTGCTGCCTTCTAGGTAAGACAGCAAGGAGAACTGTGAAAATGCAGAACAGCGCTGCTCAGCTCCATTTCTGTTCTGAAAGGGTTTTTCCCACAAAACAATGCTATTGCTATGAACACAAAATGGACTTCTAATTCTTTTTAATTAATTTATTTTTGATAGCGATGTTTCTCCTTTTCCCCCATTGACACCCTCCTCCCGCCCTTCCCCCAGCACAGTTGTCCATGTCCACTGGTTATGCTTATACGCATAAGCTCTTTGTTTCCCTCTTCCCTCCCCGGGACTTCTAATTTTTAAATTAATAAACATCTTTAATATTTCTCAAGTTTAATTTTAAATACAGTAACCACTGATGGATAAAATTCACAAAAACAAAGCTCCTTGTGACCTTCAAAATATTTTAAAATGTAAAAGGGTCCTTAAACCAAAAGTCTGAGAACCACTGTCCTGAGCCATTCCTAACGCTAAACTTAGACGCACTGGAAAGCCGAGTGTGATGAAAGGAAGCGGCCAGCGCTGTCGCTCACCCAGCTTAGGGGCCCTGACAACAGGCTCCAGACCCCGAATCAGCCCAACATTCACTTTCAGAAGCACTTTTGAACCATGTCAATCAAAAATGAGAAGTGACACTCAGAGGTCACCCCAACTAAAAACAGTCACCAGAAACAATAGGCCACATTAGGCCACATGACTAGCCAGTGGAAAACTCATACATCTACCAAATGAAACAACAATTTTTCCAATTCACAGAAATACTGATCTCAAAGCCTTGGGAAAAAATATCCTCGGTTCCATGGTCAACTAAGGCAACACGGCAAAGGGACTTCTTCTTTTAGGCAACACAAGCAGTAAAGCTATTTCTGTAGCTATAAAACAACAGAACAGCAGGCATGTAACTTAGCGCATATTCCAAAGTTCCTTCTTTGTGCTGAGAATAGAGTTTAGCATGTACAATTATATAAAATAAACTTTCATAAAATGTCATCCTATTTATAATTCATTATGAGCGTGGCAAGACTTGCTTGTGTGTGTGTGTGTGTGTGTGTGTGTTAATCCTCACATGAGGATTATTTTCTTCACTGATTTTTAGAGAGAGTGGAAGGGAAGGAGGGAGCAAGGTGGGGTGGGGGGAGCATGGTGGGGAAAGGGGGAGAGGGGGAGAGAAACAATAATTGGTTGCCTCCCACATGCATCCTGACCAGGGCTGGAGATTGAACCTGCAACCCCAGTATGTGTCCTTAAGTGGGAACTGAACCCAAGACTGTTTGGTACGCGAGCTGATGCTCTAATCACTGAACCAAACTGGCCAGGGCACTGAGGTCAATGGAAACACTAAAGGAGAATCACACAGGAAAACTGTCTAGAGTAAAGCTTCCCTGTGAATTAGGATCCTTGGGCTCTGGAAGAAAAACAACAGATGAGTCAAAGGCCCATCAGTACCTATTTGCCTGGGATCCTCCACCCCATGAGAATTAATGATTTCATGTGTCTGAGCACGCGGCTGGCTGTCCATCAAAATGCCAAATGCTGAAATGCCAGATTAACTGTGATGAGTTCCGACACTTAATATAAGCACCTTGGACTTTTGATCCATGAAAGACTAGCATTTTTCTATCAAGGTTCATGAATCAATCCCACTGATGATTTCTTTGTAAATAACAGGAGAGAAGTGGAGTCTTTTCCCAAAAAAGCACTGACTTGCACCTGTCAGGGGCTCTATAGACTTCCAGGGACCACGGAGAAGAATCAACTCCATGGGTAAGACGGTGATCAATTTTGCAAAACACAAAAATCTTAACCGTTTCCAAAAACTGCTTCTTTCAGGCATGTTCTTAAAAGTTAAATGCAATAAGGGCCATGCAGAACCCTGGGCTGGCTGGGGCTGAGCTAAAATGCAGCAGGCCGGTGCCCAGGGTCTTCCTCTGGCTCCCTGACACTTTATCTTCTTGCAACAGTGGCCAGAATTAGGTGGCACGCAAACCAGCATTTACTATAATATAACACAAACTAGATCCAATTGGGAAATAACCTAAATGTTCTATGTTAAAGAAATGGTTTAACAAAATATAGACAGCAATAAAAAATAATACTATGCCTCCATTATGATGAAAAATTGTGATGACTGCAAAACATTTTCCTATTACAGTTAGAAGAAGGTCAGACTACAAAGGGTGTATACATTATAGGCACAATGATATAAAATTATGTGTCAGTGAAAGGTAATATGAAAAAATAAAACTTATTTCAGGGTGAATTATGACTAGCATATAAGTGATCATTATTAAATTTCATTACTTAGATCATTTCAACCTCAACTCAAATGATATCAGTCATCTTTTATTAAAACTGACCGATTACCAAAATACCATTATTCAATAAAAAAGAAGAGAAAACCATACCATACTTAACTGCCTGGAAGTGAACATTTACTGCTTTGTTTGCTCAGAACAGGCCCCTCCTCCCACCTTTCTCTGGAAAACGGCCTTTGACCACCTGGTCAGATGGATGCACCACCTTCTTAAAGCCTCTGCGGCCTTGTTCGGGCACTTGGCCCAGGCTCCTGTGCTGTTGTGAACTGGAACTTCTTCCTGACTGAGCACCTCCAGAGTCCTAGTCCAGGAAGCTGACAGTGACAAAATGGTGTCCAAGCGTGGAGAGCAGCTTGCTGGGCCTGAAGTCTCCGGTTCTGGTTACCTGGAGGCTCACATGGGTCCCTGCGTTCCCACCGCCTGGTTAGTAAGCCCATCGGTTCCCTGTTTAAGTTACTTTTTATTGACTGCCAATGACTCTGCAGCCCCACGTCATCAACACAATAGAAAATGCAATACGTCCTACCTGGGGAGCTTTCGTGAGGAGAAGAGCAACTTCTGGATTGTTGTGGTAGCGGGCAGTCTCCAGGGGGGTCTGGCCTGCCTAGGGAAGGGCACAGGGGAGAACAGTGAGCACTGGCCACCAACCCCCCCCCCCACAGCCCAGCGGGGACAGCAGCCCTGCACTGTCACACCAGCACCGACACGTGCTCAACAGAACACAGACGACATGGCCCTGCCCTGGAGCCGCCTCCCAAGTTCCCCCTGAGGGCACAGCCAGAAAGGGTAAGAGCTGACCCTTTCTTAAGTGCTCCAGGAGGCAAAGGCCGGGGGCACTTCCCACCGAGGAATAGTGTGGAAAAGAGATGAAGAAAGGTAAAAACCAGACGGGGTCAAGGAGGAAGATTTCAGTTGAGGAAACTCAAAGGATCATAAAACCCAGCCAAGCAATGAAATTTCCCTGGAGAACAGGGGAGAAGACACCTGAAGGGCAGATGAGGGTCCAACCAGAGTCTCTGGAACTGGATTGTGAAAACCAGTTAGGAAGCTATGGCCATAGTGAGGCTTAGGGAGGTTAAGCCAAACACCAAGAGTTGATAAACAGCGAGATTCAACAGATGGGAAAGGTGTTCAAGGCACCATTGGAGAGGTACTTAAGGTACCACCCAATACAGGTCAGAACTGTGGGGAAGGGGGACACTAGATACGGGAGCCTTCACTAGCTTCAACATCCCTGACTCCCCGACACTCACACAACTATTCCGCCCCCTCAGTCTGATATTTCAGGAGGGCAGCGTCCCCAGAGCAGCTTTGAAAAACGGCACCTGAGCTGGTGGCTGCTCTAGGATCTGGGAGACAGAAAGAGGGGGGGGGGTGGAGGAAGGGAGGTGCGAGGGGCATATTAAGAGTCGGGGGTGGGGAGATTTGGTGAATTTGGAGAGAAAGGAGTTAGAAGTTTTGAGGATTAATCTGGTGACCAGGTGGCCATTTTTTTGAGGACCACATGTGTGTATAGCAACATCCACTTGTTAGCTTACTTTGACATCCTGACCTTTTTCACACCAGGATGTACTCACTTCAGCAAGGAATCTGAAGATGAGCCCTCAGGGCTGGTCAACTCATAGGGCTGCTAACCGGGAGGGTCTCCTCAGGCCACCCCTGAGGGCCCCACGGTGCCGGCTTTTCAGAACCTACACTCTTCCAGAGTGAGGCTGGGAGGCGGGAGGCTAGAGGCTACCAGCCCTCAGAGGTGGTGGTAACACCAAGCCCATTCTGCAAAGGGGTGGAAAGGCCTTTAGAAAACATTGCTGTAACTCAACTTACATTATTTTATTTTATTTTTTTCTTTTCTTTATTGATTTTAGAAAGAGAGGAGGGGAGAGGGAGAAGAGAGAGAAACATCCATGAGAGAGAACATCGATTGGCCGCCTCCTGCATGCCGCCCACTGGGGATCGGGCCCACAACCTGGGCATGTGCCCTGACCGGGAATTGAACCGGCGACCTTTCGGTGCACGGGCCGACACTCAACCAGTAAGCACACCAGCCAGCCTCAACTTACATTATTAACAATGGTCCCATCTGCTCCAGCTTCCAGTAAGATTTTAACCACCTTCTTGTGATTTAGAGAAGCAGCAATATGAAGCGCAGTGTCTCCAGCCTGAAATTCATCAGAAGAAAGCCTGCTAAACCCCATCTGATCACGGCCCACAGCCCTCCAGCTTGTCGTTTGGCGGTGGCTTTTCAAAGTCGACCTAAGATTTGCTAAAGACCGACAGGGCGCCCTTTGCTCAAGGGTTATGTGGTTCTTTCTAAAGATGGTGGAACTAATCGAGCTATGCACAAATATCACATTCCCTTCTGACTGGGGTACCAGAAACCACAGGATGAAGCGCACCGGGCAAAGTCATGCTGGGCTGGGGTTGTTGAGAATGGTCAGAGCTGGATCCTGCGCTGATGCGGGATGGTGGCAGGTAGCCAGGGGCCAGTGGGCGGCCGTCTGGAGCTCTGGACCATGTCCCACTGCCCAGGCAGGGGAGAGGGCAGAGAACCCTTGGTTGCTGAGCACTAGGAGGAGTGAGCACTGTGGAGACAGCTCTTTCTACAAGCACCCCCGGGGATGTGCAGGGGCCGCTGGGAATCGCTCTGCAGGCTCAGGTGTTCTTTGCTGGGTGGAGCGACTGAGAACTAGTGTTCGCTTAACACCAGCTGTTTTCCACGTCTTACCAAATAACCTGTGAGTTTTTATTTTCTTTATACAGAAAATGTTTTAGTTCATCAACTATGAAAGGAGGATTTGGAAAAATGCAGCTTGGTGAGCCAATTCCAAATTCAGACGCTCTTTTTTTCTCCCCTCCCAACAGAATGATACAAATAAGTCAGGCAGCTACGGGAGAAGTGTAATAATTCATTCTCCACCATTAGGTGATCAGGTAAAGCACTCTGATACTTTTTTCCTGACAGCATGAAAATGTAGTCATTCCTGTGGCCCTCTTCCCCGCAAGGGGCGCGGGGAGGAGACGTGTTATTTCGCACTGAGTCACTTGACTGTGTGTTGGGGGTGGGGAGCTGTGGAGCAGGGTTTTCTGATCTTGGCTGCACATTGGAACAGTTTTAAAACTACTGATGCCTGGGTCCCACCCCAGACATTCCGGTGTAATTATTCTGACAGGTGGGTTGGGCGTGGTGATTTTTCAAAGCTCCCAGGTGCTTGAAACATGCCACCAAGGTTGAGAAACACTGGCTAGTGGGGCTGGGTAGGGGTAATCGGATGAACTAGAATCCACTGGGAGGCTACAAATGACAATTCAGCTGCTCAGCTAGATCAGTGGTTCTCAATCCCATCTGCACACTAAGGCCAGGAGCTTTTAAAAATCCCATCACCTGGATATTCTCGACATTTAAGCTGGGATAGGACTCGGGAATGGTATTTTTAATTCCCTGTGGATTCTTACATGCAGCCAGGGTTAGAAACCACCATTACAGGGTATATTTAATCTGAATAACAATCTATTTTTTAAATTTCAGATATATGCACCCAAACTCAGAAAAGCCAAACAACGCACCCCTTAGGTATCAATAAGTATCACAACATTTTTAAAGAATCTAAATAACTCCTGAAAGTCAGGCACATTTCCATGGAACACTGTAGTAGTCACAGCTTTATCTCCAAACCCCATTATTGGGCACAGATACAGATCATGTGCCCAGTTTTACAGAAACCAATACTGTACTCCACCAGCTCAAAGTGGCAGCACAAGGAACAGGACTCAAGTCGGGAGACGCCTCCTTCCCTTGCTTATTTACTAAGCCACATTCTTGCACGTTTCCTTTGTAAAATCACATTGAAAACAAAACCCTGCCCCAGGAGCTCCAGAAAATAAATGTTCAATAAGCAGATGTGGTGGTAGGCACTGGAATGATAAGGGCAGGCTCTCTGGAGGAGGCCAGATAAGCCAGGCCACGGGAACTCAGCGGAACACCCACGCGAGGCCCGCACTGGCCGAGTCCCAGTCAGAGAGGCTCCCAGCGGCCTCTGCGCCTGTTTGTGCTAACACACCTGTCAGTTAGCCTTGTGGGAAGGGGCCCGGCAGCCATGGGGAGGACACATGCACTGACCTGGTTCTTTTCATGGACAGAACAGAAAGCACTGAGGAGGAGCTTAATGACGGACAAGTGATTATAGCGCGCGGCAACGTGCAAACAGGTGTCGCCTGCCTGCGGACAGAAATCAAACTCTAAGCACAGTCTGAGCGGTTACAAAACAAGACATAAAGTAAAAAGAAAATATCGTTTAAAAGCTGGCAGACTGACATATATTCTTTGGAGGGTGTCGGCCTGAATTATAAACTCTCTTTCACGGTGGATGCTCCACTCCCAGACTCACAGCCCTTTGCTGCTGTCTGCAGCCGATTTCCCTCCACGCGGGACGCCTGCTCCCCGTGAGACCCTCTCGATAGCCAAGGCAGGCTCTGCTTACCCAGCACTGATACGAATCCACCGACCCCATCCTCTCCTACAACCCAAACTCAGGAGTATACTGAACTAAGACCAAGAGCACGGCTTTGGAAATGAGCCTTTCCCTTCACAGATTCATCATGGCTCTAAGGATTGGGCAGCAGGGCAAGTTGCTAAATTTAAGATCACACATCCTTAAAAATTCAAGTTGCATCCCATTTTAGTTGGACCCCAATATCCCATATGGAGCAATATGAGTCCGGGGAGCTGACACAGGGCATGAAAAGGGCAGTCAGAAAAACTCAGGGCCGGGACCTATCTCAGTGGTCACAGGCAAACAGCCCCAGAGAGGCAACAACACTGGAAACAGAGTCGTGACATTCTGTAGTGTTCTCTTAACATTCCTGCTGTAGCTCTGTCTGGCGATGGCCACCACTCGGTCTAACTTTCTCCCTAGACGAAGAGGAGCCAAGTGCAAAGCTGAGGCTCAGGCATTCTGAGAATCACCGTAAATGAGTCTGCTCCCAGTCACAGAGACCCAGCTAAGGCCATTTCTTAAGGACATGCCTGTCAGAGTCCCTAGTTGAGCGGCTGGGGCCTGGGACTTAGAAAGAAAACAGCTTCTTGTGGAGAGAGGAGGGACGCCCATGTGACCTCTCAGGTCAGGATTCCTATCAGAACTACTGACCCACCAGCTCATTCCAAGGATGCCCCCGTAACTGACTTGTAGATGCTGCGCATGAAGCATCAGGAGACCTCCCCAGCAGGCATCATCCAGAATTTGCTAACTGTACAACACTGTGTGCCCGAGACCTTCCTAAGACGTTCAGAGGCTTCCTAGATGCACTCACCAACACACGCTATAGGAAATGATCAAACAAATCAGGGTTAGGAGTGAGGGGAAAAGGACGGGAGAAAAGCAGTGTTTCCAAGTCTCGATCCTTCTTCCCATGCTCCTAAACAACCCCTTAGGAAATTAGCAAAAATAAATACTTGATAGATAGGCCCCAAACACTTCACATTTTTATTTTCTAGATGTTAACACTCAAGTATGGTTTCAGGGTTGTTTTCCAAGATGACACAGAGAGCACGGCAGACGCCGTCTTGTTCACCCACGTTATTTTTGAGGTCGGCGCGGGACCCGCCCAGCAGGAGGACGCGTGTGCTCTGGGAGTGGCTGTTCTGGCAGGCCAGGTGCAGGGCCGTGTTCCCCGCCTTGGAGAGAGGCAAGAGAAGGGAGGACACGTTAGCGTCGTGGTGCCTGCAGACCTGCACGGAGCAGACCTTGTAGAGGGACTGTACAGAAAAGAGGCACAGCTCACATTCTCTGCTTCCGGATCGCGGACCCGGAGGAGGTTTCCCAACAGGCAGAAGAGTCACATCTGTCATAAAACCGTGGGTCCCAGTCCTGGCTTTGCCCCTTACTAGTTGAAAGCCAGGGGTCAAGGCTCTCAGTCTTCTCAGCCTTGAACTCCTTACCTGTAAAATGGAGTGTGACCCGTTTTGCTGAGGCTCTGGGGATCTGCTCAAAGTGCCTAGGAGAGCGTTTCCTGAGTGGTCAAATGCTGCGTGCATGCGTGCATTATACTCTTCTTAGGAAGACCGTGTTGTTCCCACCCAACACGGATACAGGCTGCGGCTCCTACGCTCTACCAATGAGGTCAGAGGGGGCGAAACAGGCCTCCTCCCACGTGCAGGCTAAAGGAACCAAAGATTATACTGTCGCCTTTTTCAAATCATCTATTCTTGTATTTTTCTTGAAACAACAAAGTTTGAACCATGGGAAAGATCCCTACATAACAGGCAATACCACTGCATCTGTCACTTAGCGTACATAGAGACCCTCTGCGCCCTGGCCGGTTTCGCTCAGTGGTTAGAGCGTCGGCCTGCGGTCCAGAGAGACCTGGGTTCGGTTCCCGCTAAGGGCACGTACCTCGGTTAGAGTTTGTCCCCGGCCCTGATTGGGTCGTGCGGGAGGCAACCACTCGATGTGTCCCTTTCACATCGATGTTTCTCTCTCTCCATCTCTTCCTCTCTCTCCCACTCTATCTGAACAAAAAATGGAAAACTGTCCTCAGGTGAGGATAAAAAAAAAAGAGAGACCCTCTGCCATCAATGTGCCACATCAAAATGACAGCCTAGGGGCAGAACAATGCCCACAGCAATCGTGCAGAATGAACTTGTAAACATAATTGTGTGAGACTATGGGGAGTAGGGCCTGCAAGGATGCTGCTAACCCCTAGAAAAGTACCAAAAAAGCAGGCAGCATGAGAGGAGATTTGGGGTTAGTCTGAGCAAGTCAGCACTCAGGGGGTTCAAGACTCAGTGTTTGTTCCGCTGAGCATAAAAGCCAGGCCAGCTGTGTGGGCACCAAGCCATTTCACTGCCCGCGGACCCGCGGACCCGCGGACGGCTCTCCCCCACCTAGTGTACTCCTCCTGGGCCAGACTGCACTGTCTGCCCATACTCAGGATGCTATGTTCCCCACCTTCTGAAAAGAGAAATGAGTTATTAAAAAAAAAAAAAATAGAGGGAAACTGCCTGTTGCCAGGTCACTGTCCTTCCCTCTCCTAACCTCAGCTCTGATCAGCCCAGACAGGGTCTTTCTTCCTCAGTGTTGCCGCCAAGAAACGGGAGCAGTTGCAGGCTTAGCTCTCGGGAGCGCAGTGGCCGTCGACCCTCTGCTGCCCACGGAATCACCTGGGGAGCCGTTAGAAACAGCCCTGCACAGCAGCCACCCCTCTAGGGACTCCGAGTACCTGGCCCGGGTGGAGCCTGGGCTGCTCAGGTTTCACACTGAGCAAGCACCGTGGAACCCGGCAGGCTAGGGCACGGGACAGCGGGCCACCCCAGCCCTCGCCAACAGGGTAGATTCGCTCCCCCCCCTCCTTTTTTTTTGTTTAAAGTTTCCCAGGAGATTTTAAAGTGCAGCCAGGGAGAGAAACACTGCCAGCTGAGCTCTCCAAAAGGAAGGCGCTGCCACGTTTTAAACACTCCATTTCCTGTGAAAGTGCTCAGTGCCCACGCAGGAGGTGGTCTCAAAGTGGCTGGCTTCCTGACCGTCATTAAATGTGCTGAATAAATGAGCGAAATCAAAGAAATCTGAAGACTCTACAAATACATCATACTAAAATTTACTTTGCCAATAAGAAAATATCAATTATGCTGAAAAGCATTTGACTCAAGAAAATGAAAAACCATGGGTAAGCATAAACAGAATAAAGTCCATTCATGCAACAGAATATTACTCAGCAATCAAAATGAATGAATGAATCACCCATGTAACAACATTAACAACATCATGCTAAGTGGACGAAGTTGGACAACAAAGGCTGCGTGTTACGTTGCCTCGTAGGTAACGTTCCGGGAAAGGCCAACAAACCAGGGGTCGCCAGGAGCTGGGAGGGGGTGGGTGCATGGGGGACTGCCGGCAAAGGCACAAAGGAAGTTTCTGGGGTGATGAAAACATTCTCTTGTCTTGACTGTGGTGGTGGTTTACACAACTGTACACATTTGTCAAAACTCATAGGATGGTATACCTAAGAAAGATGAACTTTACTGTATATGATTATACTTCAAAACCTGCTATTAAAAAATGTGACCTTGCCCAGCTGGTGTGGCTCAATCCTGAGCATCACCCCATGGACTGAGAGGTCCTTGGTTTGATTCCCAGTCAGGGCACATACCCAGGTTGTGGGCTCAATGCCCAGTAGGGGGCGTGCAAGAGGCAGCCATTTGATTTTTCTCTCTCACATCAATGTTTCTATCTCCCCCTAAAAAATCAATAAAAACATATTTTTTTAAAAAATGTGACCTAGGCCATGGCTGGTTTGGCTCAGCGGTTAGAGCATTGGCCCACGGACGAGAGAGTCCTGGGTTCGGTTCCTGATAAGGGCACATATTTTAGTTACAATTTGTCCCCGCCCTGGTTGGGGTCACGTGGGTGGCAACCACTCGATGTGTCTCTCGCACATCAATGTTTCTCTCTCTCTCTTGCTCCCTCTCTCCCTCCTGCTCCATCTGAAGAGAAATGCAAAAATGTTCTCGGGTGAGGATAAAAAAAAAAAAAAAAAGTGGCCTTGGCAGCTATAATGACAGACATTTTTCCCACCCTGAGTAATAAGCACAGATTTCCCAGACAGGAGCTGCTAAGCTTGTGGCATAAGAAGTACATTTCTTATACAGTGGAATATTATTCAGTCTTACAAAAGAAAAATCTTGTCACTTACGACAATATGGATGAACCTGGAAGGCATTATGCTAAATGAAATAAGCCAAACAGAAAAAGACAAATACTGCATGGTATCATTTATATGCGGAACTTAAAAAAGAAAAAATGTCAAACTCAGAGGAACACAGAGTAGAAAGGTGTTGCCAGGAGCAGGGGATAGGGTGATGTTGGTAAAGGGCACAGACTTCTAGTTGTGAGATAAACAAGTTCTGAGGATCTAACGCACACATGTGACTATGAGGGTAACACTGCTGTATAACTGAAATGTACTAAGAGGAGAACTTAAGTGTTCTCACTAAATAAAAAAATAAATGTAACTATGTGAAGTGATAGATGCTTTAATTAACCTGATGGGGGGATTCTTTCACAGGTATACACTTTAAATATGTTAACATTTTATTTGACAGTTATACCTCAATAAAGCTAGAGGAGGAAAAAAAAAAAGAAGAGGCTTTCTAGGAGTTTCCCCAGAGGCTGTGGCGGTGCAGAACCTACGCGTCCCTCGTTTAGAAGGGCACCTCACAGTCGCTGCCATGGGGCCTGGAGTGAGAGCTCGTGGCTTTCCCCCAGAGCCCCGGGCCCTGCACAGGGCAGGCGGCTGTGGGCCGAGCAGACAGGCCGGCGGAGGTCCGGCCCTCACCGAGCCACAGAGGAAACCTGTGCTCTAGTCCAGGGCCGTCCTGGCTCCCACTTGCTCTTCCCTACCCATTCGCTGGAAAGTGCCTACTTCTCAGAGTTGCTATGAACTTACCAACTCATGTTTCAGACCATACACCAGTTCGAAGAAATGGAACAGCCACCAGCCTGCCAGGCATTACTGGAGAGGTGAGGGTACACGGCTCACTTCTTTCCCCCAAGTGGCAGCCAAGAGAAAGAGCCAGTAACGACAGCACAAGCTGCGTGCAGTGCGCAGGGAGCGCGGCAGGAACAGCCCACAGCCTTCGGGGTGAGGGGGCCTGTCCTGGGGGAATGGTTGGAGGGCTTCAGGCAGAAACGAGAAGCAGGCTACCCAGTGGAGCGGGCGACCAGAGGCGACAGTGAGCCCAAGCTGACAGCAGGAGGCACATGCGGGGGAAGGCACCGGGCAGAGGCCCTGAGACAGCATCAGGCTGAGGGGCTTTCCCGACCGGCCCAAGCAGGACGGAGGGATTAGGCCAGCTGGTCAGTGTGCTGTGAGGCTTCTGAAATCCAGGGACACATCAATAATGAGTGTGGAAGGAGAGGGAGAAATGTGAAAGGGTGAGACGTGACGAGGGACTGGAGAGGGGAGACAGAGCGAAAGAAGACATGCTACTGTGCGTCCCCTGCCTGCATGAGGACCACCGCCCTCTAGCGAACCAGCGCGAAGCAGTGAGGGCCCTGGGGTCCGAGGAAGCCAGAGCCACCCAGGAGGCCCTCGCTCACCTCGCAGGCTGTGCTCACGAAGGAGTTTCATGCGGGGGAAGGCACCGGGCAGAGGTTCTCCCTGCCAGTTCTGCGAGCCTGAGCGCTCTGCTCCGGGAGAGGAGGACGCCCGCAGCCACCCTCCCCTGTGAATGAGTGCTACACCCGCTGGACCTCACCTTGTTCTTGGCAAGCACGTTGGCTCCCGCTTTAACGAGCAGCTTGACCGACTGGCTGAACCCGTGCCAGGACGCTTCGTGCAGGGCCGTATTCCCGTCCTGAGGAGCACAGAGACAGCGTGCTACCCACAGCCTCATCCACCTCGTTAAAATCAATACATCAGAGTGAGTTTTTAGGGCACCCCACAGGGCCTTTCTCCACGGGGGTTTCTCATCGGAATCACAGAACCCAGAAAATGACTTGAGTGGTCAGCTTCTCCATTCTCCCAGAAATGGTACACACCAAGTACCATCCCAGATGCAATCTAGACTCATGATGGACAAGGGATGCCTTAGGCATCGGGGCTCAGGTCTCTGAGGGAGCACTGCTGAGAAAGGCAGTCATTTCTGACAGAAAGCAACATCAGGATGGGTAATGCCCATTCCTTCCCACCCCCATCAGCCCCTGGGCTCTGCTCTGCTCCTGGCCCCAGGGAGAACCCTGCAAAGATCGGGAAAATAGAGAGTCCAGCTTCGTTAATTCCAGGGCCCAAGGACCAGACAGGTAGATTCCCCCTCCTTTGTCTTCCCCAAACTTTATTCTCACCCAGCTTAATCCAAAAGTCTCAGGGCCCCAAAGAAATGTGCAGGCCCTGAGAAAACAGTGATCTGTAAATAAGATAAAGTGTCCTCATGTGTGACTTTCAAATAAAAATCAACCAATTAAAGATAGCTTGTATTTGCTTAGCTTATAAAAAATATAGGAAGTACAATGAACTGAGTGGGGTGGGACAGGGAGGGTCAGGGTTTGGGGGAGGGGGAGCATGGAGAGGAGAGGCAGAAATACCATCCATGCTGTTCCAGACCGGGGCGCAAGGCAGTCAGCTGGGCGGTGCAGGTGCCTTCTCCAATCATACCCAGGGTCTGTTTAGACTTTCATTCAACCACACCAACCGACAGGGCCTAATGCTGCTGACACTCTCAGGGGAAGGCTAGGGTCTCAAAGACCACAGTACCAGAGGCCAGCGAGTGGGGCATGCTTGCTGGACATGGAAGTGGCCATGTGTGGCCCGGGTAGTGGGACTGACTGCACCAAGCAGGAAGCAAGAGGAGAAGTGACTGGAAGGGGCTGGGCAGCTGGTGCTCACACAAGTGCGCAGGTAGTGGAAACCCACTGAGCTGCACCTATTATTTGTGCTTTTTCTGTGTATATATACTTGAATGAGAAGTTGTTTAAAAAGAGCAAACATGGTCCAGCTGGTGTGGCTCAGTGGATTGAGCGTCGTTCCATGGACTGAGAGGTCCCAGTTTGATTTCTGGTCGGGGCACATGCCTGGGTTTCGGGTTCGATCCCCAGTAGGGGGTATGTAGGAGGCAGTTGATTGATGTTTCTCTCTCACATCAATGTTTCTCTTTCTGTCCCTTCCTCTCTCTCTCTAAAAAAAAACCAATAAAAACATTTTTTTTTTTTTTTAAAAAAAGAGGCTGAATTGCACTAAATTGCAAAGTTCCATATTTTAAACTTGTTGGACAATTTAAGAACACTATATTAATACATGTCATTGGGATTTCTTAAAAATTGATTTTGCTTTTTTTCTTCCAACTTAATTTTTAAAATCAACTAGTCCCTTATCAGAAAAAGAAGAAGAAAACAGTCCGGGGTGGCAGGCCAGCCTTTCCCCACCTAGGCCTCCACATGTCATTACTTCTAGACATTTTTTCTTTTGGTACCATTATGTTTGTGTAGGTGCTCACTGCTGCCACAGAACAAAAGGAAGAATTAAAAAAAGAATTAGCCCTGGTCAGCATGGCTCAGTTGGTTGGGCGTCATCCTGTGCACGGAAAAGCTGCTGGTTCGATTCCTGGTCAGGACACATGCCCAGATTTTGGGCTTGGTCCAGGGGGAGGGGGGAAGGGGGGATGGGAGGGACATGTGAGAGGCAGCCAACCGATGTTTCGCTCTTTCACATCAATGTTTCTCTCTCTCTCTCTCTCTCTCTCTCTCTCTCTCCCCCTTCTCCCTAAAAATCAATTTAAAAAAAATTAAATAGCCCTGGTCAGTTTTCTCAGTGGTTAGAGCATCAGCCCACGGACCAGTGAGTCTTGGGCTCGATGTCAGTCAAGGGCACATACTTCAGTTGCAGTTCGTCCCTGGCCTGGTCAGGTCATGTGACACAGAGGCAACGGTCGATGTGGCTCTGTCACATTGCACTGATGTTTCTCCCTGTCTCTCTCTCGCCCTCTCCCTCCCACTCTATCTGATGATAAATGGAAAAATATCCTTGGGTGAGGAATAAAAAAATAAATAGCCTTGGCTGGTTTGGCTCAGTGGTCAGAGCGCCAGCCTGCGGACCAATGAGTCATGGGTTCGATTCCGGTCAAGGGCATGTACTTTGGTTGCAGTTCGTCCCCTGCCTTGGTCGGGGTCATGCTGGAGGCAACCGGTCGAAGTCTCCCTCCCTCTCTCCCTCACACTCTATCTGAAGATAAACAGAAAAATATCCTCGGGTATAGATAAAAAGAAAAAAAAAAGAAGTGTTTAAAAAATTTAGTGGGATATGGGATACTCTTTCTAAGTAAATCTGGGCTGATTTCATCATGTTAAATCACGAGTGATAAGACTCAGGAATGATAACATCTCGCTAGTGTGTCCTCGGGCGGGCACGTCCCACTTTACCTTGTCTTGTCGGTCCAGGGCACAGCCCTCCTGGAGGAGCGCCGAGATGACCTCAGTGTTCCCCACCACCGCGGCACGATGCAAGGCAGTCTGGTCCCCCTGCAGAATGACGTGGAGGCAGGAACAGGGGTCAGCTCTCCCAACCACCCAGCGCCACTCACTCCGACACAGGAACCTCCCGCACCAAGCAGAATGGTCACCACCACGGGCGAGGCAGGCTTTGCAGTCTGGTTAGTAGACAACACACACCAGGCAGAGCAATGTTGTTCAGTGAGAACCTTAAGCAACTGCAGAACAGTCCTTGGCCGCAGAGCTGACCTCAGAATGAGCGTGGAGCCCTCACCCGCTGCCCGGGGAGATGGCAGTGTCCAGCTGGACGGTGGCTGTCACACGGGTGAAGAGCAGGTCCGAGAGCAGGCCCGAGTGTGCTGTGCAATTACAGCAGCAATGCCTGGACTCTTTACTCCCTACGGACCCCCTAGTTCCCTGCTTTCAGAGACATCGCCACCCAGCTGTGTCAGGGAGCGGCACTCATGATTTGATGGTGGGTGCGTATTTGTCCATTGACTTGTACTGGCCACGAGCAAGGTGGGGTTTATGATGTGTTTTCGGAGGATTCCAGGCGTGGCAAGCCACCACTGCACGTCTCTAAGAAGCTTATTGTGATATCTCAAGACAACAGCCTCACTGATTTATGGCACATTTGACCCCTTTCTCTATGATCAGATTCCTGGAACTGCAGACCTTCTCTTTCAGGGCAAAGGGAGCTTGACTCTTTACCCTAATTGCAGCTGAGAAAAAGACTAAACGCTCCTAAAGTGAGACAGTCAGGACTGTAAGGAGAGTTCGGAGTCCCCCAGAACACATCTGAGCTCTGACAGGCACTCAACGAGTGACGCTGAGACTAATCGAGTCCAGCCGGGGGTCCAGGTTCAAATGGGGAGGTGAGTAATCACCTGTAAGAGGAGGGGGTGGATGATCCTCAAAGTCCCTCCCTTCCCTTGGGTTCTGTGATTTTGTTGGTAAGAGTTTTGCATAAATGACATTTCCTAATGGAGAACCACAGGGAAGTAATATACCCTGAGCCATCCCTGGTCCTTAGCCCAAGAGAGGAAAGAGAGACTATTATAAAACAGAAAACATGAAGATTTTTCAAAGAGAAATGCACTGCTACCTCTAAAGAACCCTAAAGAAATTCTGATTCTACTTACTAAACTCTTTGGAATTTAAAACAATGCACTTTAAAAGCACTTAATTGGAAGAAACGTTCTGGAGATAGATAACCGTGATATTTGCACAACACTGTGAATGTACTTAATGCCACTGAGCTGTATGGTTAAAACAGTAAATTTTATGTTACGTGCATTTTATCACAATACAAAAGCACTTAATGCTATTTGAAACTCAAATTCACTTTCTTAAAATTGAAACTACCCCTTTAAAAATTCATGAGAAGTGATTTTATTTTCTTCCTTATACTTTTAATACCTTACAACTCTTTGTGTTGAACATTTAATTTTTAGCATCAGGAAAAATTGCTATTTATTAAAAGTCTAAGCTGTAACAATATAACAGTAATGGGACTGTGCCCCAGAATCTTTTCTCACTGTCCGTTTGTAGGACTTAGGGTTTCCGCAGCGATGGTCAGGACATGCAGCCTGTTACCAGGACTCCGGCCACTGTCTGCACATCTCGACCACCAGTCCTGCCCTCCGCATCCTAAGCGATTACTCCCGTTATAAACTCAATGTAGGCTGGGTTTTCTCCACGCTCCCGGGCCCCTTAATCAAAGACGACCCTGTCTATGTGGAATGCAGGCAAAAGGAGAACATGACCACCGGACCAGCCGTTACAGGTGTGCCAAGTCATCTCACATCCATTTCAAACATCTTAAGAAGTGTTTCCAGATGAGGTATACTTAATGCCCAAATTGCCCATGTCTTAAAATTTTTTAAGTTTCTATAAAAATTTCCAGGACTGGCCCAGCCGGTGTGGCTCAGTGGATTGAGCGTAGTCCCATGGACTGAGAGGTCCCAGTTCGATTCCCAGTCAGGGCACATGCTCAGGTTGAAGGCTTGATCCCCAGCAGGGGGCGTGCAGGAGGCAGCCGATAGAGGTTTCTTTCTCACCTTCATGTTTCTATCTCTCCCTTCCTCTCTAAAAAATCAATAAAAACATATTTAAAAAAAAAAATTCCAAGGCTGCCTATTTCTCTACCAGAATGGTGAACGGTTTGCCCAAAGTGGACCTGCAATGCCATTTGTTATTACTGATCTGACCTGGCACTCTGTTCTCAGCCAGAAAGGTGAGGTTGAGGCTCACTGGTCCAGGGTAAATACTGACTTGGCCAGAATGCCCATTGTTACAGGCCTGTTAATACTTCCACAAACTGAGGGCACTCTAACCTGCACCTTGGACCAAGCAGAACAACCTTTTCCCACAATGAAACTTAGCCACTCTGTCCATGTTGTGCATCAGGTGTGAGCAGTAAGCCCTGGGCTCAGGTTGTGCCAGCCTCTCCTGCCGCACCAGCCTGCGCACAAACGGCCTCTGCTGATCAGGGCACTACCCTACGCAGTGCCTTCGGTCACGTGTTTCATCATGTTTCACAAGTTGCCACTAAATCATGAACTGAGGCAGCTCTGAAGCCAGAATGTCAACATTATTTATTACTTGCTTTCCGCATGAATCTCTGTATTTACGTCCCTCAAGAGAACTTTTCTTTGTGAAAGTCTAGCTTAATGCAAGAAGCTAAATCTAACTTTTAGTTCAGCCCTTAGGAGTCAATTTCCAGATGAATTATCAAGACTCAAAGAGATCTAACAACTCGAGGAGGGTGCAGTGAGAACACACATTGTCCTCAACCAACTGGTACAAGTGTTTCCTGCATCTCTCCTTTCTCTGCGGAGACCCTGAGCAGCTCTGCCTGTCTCCGGGCCACAGACCCTCCCCCACCTTTACTCCCCTCAGAGAGCCCTCCCTCAGGGGCTGCTCCCTGCCTCATTGGTCAATTAATACTAGCGAAGGCCAAAGTCAGCCATTCCCCAGCTCCCCACCACAAGTGGTCGTCCTTTAGCTGCACCACGAGCTTTGTTAACACTGGGTGGGGTGGTTCTGGGGGCCTGAGGGAGTCACCTTCTTTGGTGTATAAAAATCCAGCCACCCTTAAATTACGGAGACGAGAAATAAAGGCTCTGAGAGACAGGAAACACCTAAGCAAAGGGCTATCTCCCTGAGAGCTCCTCTTCCCCAGAACACAACACAAACATCCGAACAACTGGAGACCCCGACCGGACCAGCTCGGTCACCTGCGGATCCACTTTTCCTCCTATAAACTGAAAATTTACTGTTGAAATCTTTCCTCTTTGAAATCGGACACAGAAGAGAACAAAATGTGTCCTCAGTACATACTTATTAACAGACCCAAGAAGCAACTGTGACATAATCCTTATTTCTATATGATTTACACATGAAATTCTGAAACTTTGGGGGGAAAAGAGCTAGGAAAGGTATAGCTCTCTCAACTGCATGTACTCATTATTTATTCAGTAAATACTTATTGACTCCAAGTGCCATGGCATCTAATTCCTTCTTTTAATGGATTAAAAAAAAATAAAAAAACAAGACCCAGTGCAGATCAGTGCCTAGCCCAGGATAATCAGATGATTCAGGCATCGTGGCTGGGCCAGAATTCAAATTGTCAAGTCTCTTTGCACTCACACCTACCCGTTCCAAACTGTAAAGCCAATTAACCTTAGGCCAGGTCTTTAAGAGACCAGGTACCTCTGTGGGGCTGCCCTTTATGGCGTCATCGAGTGCTTCAGTGTGGTGCCACGGCCACCAAGGGCTCCCAAGAAGTATTTGTTGAATAATTAACTATAAAGCCGAAGGAAAAATGTAGCAGCTGGAAACTTGAAAAGCCAGCAACCTTGCAGTTTGGTACTTTCATCTGGAACACATTGACCTGTCTATAAAGTACATGAACTGCCAGCTCTCGATTTTTCTGACATCAGCGTTCCTTACTTGGGGATGTTGAAGAGCCTTGGAAGCTCTGAGGTCTAGATCTTTGTCCTGAAATACTTTTAGTGTTCTCGCCTACATGGTGAAAAAGAGTGAGCAGATTCCAAAGCTAAGCTCATGGAAGAAACCCCGGTCATGCAAGGGTGGAACATGCCCCTCTTCAGGAGGAACCTCTCCCAGGTGACACAGGCAGACATGTTGCAAGGAAGCTCAAGACAGACTAGGTGTGCAAAGCAAGGTGCTGACCTCTTTTTCTCCCTCTGATCTTCTAGGGTTCTTCCTAGCCTTTCTTCTCTGGTTTTTCTTATTTTTCTCTTCCTTCATGCCTTTTACCGTGGCCACTGGGTCAAGGACTAGTTCTGAGGTGGGGGCTGTGTGACTGCTCATTGACCAATCAGAGATGGCGTTAGAGCTCCAATGAGAGTTGAGAGGATTGCCGGGGAGCAAGAGGGAATTTGCTCCTGCAGTTGCATATTCTAAAGAACTGGTTTCCACAGGTTTAAATTCATAATAATCCCACTCCAGGCCACTGGAGGTCATTCTTCAACTATTCTCAGTCTTTACCATGACATAAAGAACAGTATCTGTAGAATATGAAGTCAGGGGTAAATGCTTCGTAACATTAACATTCTCTATTTCTACCCATCATCCGAGATAACATCTTAGATAACAGGTAACTTCTGAAATGACTTTTTCCCCCCCAATAAGGAATCTCCCAGCTTCTTTAAAGAGCACCCATAAAGAGTTTTCTTCCTCAAATTCTTGCATACGTTTCAAGGCTGATCATCAACAAGTACAGCAAATACACAGAAAACAGACATGAACCACACTCTGGAAATGCATTAATTACTTCAGAACTAGTGAAAGTCCATTCCACCTTCTCCATTCTCACTTCCTTTTACACTGTTTTGTTGTTGTGTTCTTATATCGTATGATATTGATTTAAGTTATCCGGGAGGAGCAATTATGGATTGTCCTGTTAAAGTGGAAAAGATGGAAGAAAATAAACACTAATTCCAAAAAATGAAAGAGGGTGTTCCTGTTCAAAGTAGAGCTGGCTTCTCCTTCTGCTGACATAACTCCCCTTGCTTACCATGTGAGAATTCCTGCCTGTTTTACTTCTCATCTGGTCTTATACAAAGAGCAGGAGTTCTGGGTAGTTAGCATAATTTCTGCTGCATTAGACCTGAGGCAGGAGTGCTGGGCTGGGATAGGTTAGCAGGTAGCCTTGCCACCGTGGCAAGCAAGGGCTTTAATTTTCCAAAGAGAAGACCAGATGCACCCCAAGATGTGTGCACCAGATCTCCAAGGCCTGCCTTTTCTGTAGTCAGAAACTCTTTTTTCTTCTGGTATTTTTGTTGTTGTCTAAGAATATGATATAATCATGAATATAAAGATGGCTACAGTACGGGAAAATAAAAAAGTATTATGACCCAAGGTGGAAATCAACAGCTTAAATAAATCTTTGTCTTTTGAACATAATGTTCTTGAGGACTCAACAGGTTCCAAATATAACCAGCAATTTTTGAATAGCAGTGGCCAGCCTTCTGCCCACCACAAAACAATGGCGCATTTCTTTCTTTGGGAATGCTGTCCTCGCCTGCATGTTTGCCAGGTTTTAGACCATTACACAGAAGCCCCAAAGAAAACTGGGAGCGCTTTGGTAATGCACACCCTAGCATGCCTGAGAATCTGAAATTTGATAATACTCTGTAACCATGGTTATTAAAGGTGAATCTGGAAGAGGTTATAAGTGCAAGTTTTCCAAGATTCTATGTTCCTCACAAAAGTGCTTATTCCTTAGAGTCCTACTACACAAACCAGAGTTAGAAACAGGATTCGAAACACTTTCCAATCGCATTAGCATACGACTTTTTCCTAATAGTTAATTGGAGAACAATTTATAGAATCTCTTCTATATTCCTTTCGTAGAGAAGCCACCTTTCCCAAAGACCCAATAAGGCGCCCCAGATACTAGGTGACCCCACCCTACCACTGCTGATCGGCTCGGGAATGGGTACTTGACCCCAAAGAAGCCGACCGGAGTCTCTCTAGATAATCTAATGAAGACACGTAGGAGCTGAGTCTTCATAATACAGCACCAGAGTGAACTCTTTCGGGAGGCCTCCTTTTTCTTGGGTTCTATGAAATAAGTTGTGTTTTCTTTGACTAGGTAGTTTTAAACTAAATGTACACGAACTAAGAGAAATCAAGGTGACAAAAAGAATAGAATTGAGTTGTTAAGCCCCAGCTTTTCTCCGCTGGTAAAGCTGGTCAATTACACACATTTCCAGCAGGCCTTGCCCATACTTGTGTGTGTGTGTGTGTGTGTGTGTGTGTGTGTGTGGTGCTCCTTCATACTGAGACGGGACACAGGCAAAGCACCCTCTGAAGCCCTGCACTTGAATGATACTAGACAGGAAATGAACCATGACGGGAAACTACCCACATTCTCCAGCTCTAACTCGCTCCTGAGAATGGGTCCCAGAGCAGGTCTTCAAGAGTAAGTTCTTCCCACCAGAGGACCAAGACAGACATAAAAAGTGCTGAAGAGCATCGATCCCCTCCCACCTCATAGCTGGTTACACACTGCACTGTGGATTTTTTAAGCAGAAAAGCTCCTCTGACAACCCATCCCGATAGGACGGTGGCTTCTACTCACATCATCCTGAACATCGAGGTCGCAGCCAGCCTTCAGCAAGATCTGGACCACAGAAAGATGACCTTTATTGGCAGCAAGATGCAGAGGGGTCCGGCCATGCTGTTGAGGCAAAGCAAACACCGATTTCAAAACAGGACATTAAAATCACACCCTGCAGCAGGTTGCACAGTGGTGTGTCCCCTTCCCCTTTGGTTTGGCAGAAGATTCTTATGGATTTACCCAGTTTTCAAGTTTGCCTCAGTTAACCCTGTATATTGGCACTGTAATCAATGAACAAAATAGGTTCAAAATGTGAAGATTTCCTTTAGTGTATAATTTCTACTCCCCACTCATTAAAACAATAAATGAGAACATGAGAGTTTTCATCTTTTATTCTGTTTTCCCACTAGTTAGTTCTAATACTCAGGGATGATGAAGTAGCCACAATGAACCTATCAGGTGGGATGGGAGAACAGCAAAAGGCCAAGCTAATCAGCCCCAGGAAAATCTGGTTAGTAATTGCTCAGCTTGCAAACTGATGGCCAAAATGATTAGAATAGACTCTCCCCACTTTTAAAAACAAATTTGAAAATTACAAAATTATTTCAGCCATTTAAAATGGTGTACAATATTTTTAAGTGTTTGTAGTCACTAACCCCTTTAAGAAAACACTAGGGAAACCAGACATTCCCTGTGAACCCCTCCCAGGTGGCCCTCCCTCCAGTCCTAGAGGTGACCACTCTTAAACCTGACATTCATCATTCCTTTGCCTTTCATTGTACTTTACTACATGTTTGTAGCCATAAACAATATATAAACATGGTCTTGCTTGTTTTCAAACCTTACATAAACAGTATTAAACTGTACAATACCATTTGGCAATTTTTGAGATTTTTTTCATAGTGTCGCATGTAGTTCCAGTTCATTTATCCATGTCCACCCTGTCTCCTACTCACGGACATGCAGGATGTTCCAGGGGTTTGCGGAACACGACTGAGTGCACACGTCCTTGCGCACCTGAGAAGGCTTCTTAGCCCTGCTGCTGGGTCACAGAGATGACCACTCCCTACACCTGCCCTCAGCATGCAGCACCTCAGGTATGACGCTGAGGGTAACACCCAGAATAACCCTCTTCAACATAAATCAATTTCTGAGAACTGACTGTGCCAAACTCCAAATTCTGAAGGAGACATTATGTCCCCTTTGCTTCCTCCCTCAAGTTCACGGTAAGGAAACATTTCCACTCTGTTTCAAGCACCACTTCACCAGGGCCCCAGCCATGCTGATGCACAGGGAGGAAGGGGTCTCACGCGGCCTTAACTCCTTTGTGGCACCCCGATACAACCTCCCAAAGGCCTTTATTGATTTTCTAGCAGGATAAACCCATTTATGATTCCAATAAAGTGCCAGTTTGCCATGGTAACTAGCCGTGGAGGAAAACAGGTAGCAAACAATAAAGGTTCGTAATTTCTACCCATGAAATGCAATCGAAGCACTAGAATGATTCTGGAAAGAAAGAGGTCAGCGCTCACTTTAAAATTAGAATCCTTAATTAAGAAAAAGTAACTCCCCAGAACGCGGGATATAAAAAGCCTTTATAAAAACGCAGCGACTGAGATGAGGATGACCGTCCTTGGCTGACGACCGCGCTCAGCGCCTGCTGCTCCACCTTGGTTCTTAACGTGCAATGTCCACGGCTGAGCAGATGGGGCAGAACAACTGGGTCCTGCTCCCCGGGCCTGCTCCCAGGCTCCACCGGTCATCACGTGTCCCTGTCAAGCATGTAAGGCATTCTGACACACAGAGAAGTCCGCTACACATGTGAGGAGGAGGGTGTGTGTGCTGTGGGACAAGGGTGTGTTTAATCACCTGGAAGATACAGACCACAGTGGGGAGCAGCTGCCCAGAGAGAGGCTGGAACAGAGGCCCAGGCTGAGGAGCCCCTGGGTGCTGGGTCAGGGGAGCACTCAGCAACACCCTCGTCAGCACCCAGATTCTACTGGGAAGCAGGGCCCAAGGGGGCGAAATGTTTGTCCCAGTGAACACAAATACTCAGACGGCAGGAGAAGGAACTACTGCTGTGGTTCAAACCCGGTCACATCGGGAGGGCGCTTTAGAAATGATAAGTTACGGACAAGATGGCCTTCGACTGGAGACACTTTCCTAAGCCAAAGTCAGTAGAGAGTCCCCTCTGCAGAGAAGGCAAAGGCCAGAGGCACTGTCGCCCGATGAGTCCGGTTCCTCTCCCGCTCTGACACCGCCTGTGCTTCCGCGCACCTCACCCTCTGAAGCCCGTTTCGTCCTCTGTGGAACAGAAACGGCCTCCACTCCCCACTCCATGGGACTGAAGTAGGAGAAATGAGGCAGCACCCACCATCTAACAGGGGATTCCTCTCTCCTCCAACTGTCCTCAGTCCTAACCCTGAAGGCCTCCAACTGTTCCCTCTCCTCCTCGACACCCTACGGCTTTGCCTTAGCCAAGACCAGTGACATATTTTCAAAGGCAAACGGACCTGGGCCAATAGTTGGGTCTCGCGTCACTCGACGAGCCAGACGGGCCCTAGCAGGAGGGTGGAGGTCCCCACCAGCCAGTCCTCATCCACTTGAAGAGACTATTGCTTGTTCTATGCCACACAGCAGGTGGGCAGAGTCTGACCCCAGCCCCCATGCTGATGCCCCACTCTGCTGCTGTGAGGTGAGGCTGCCCCTGGCAGGGGGGGTCCGTGTCTCACCCTCAGGAAGCGCCCAAGGCTCCCAAATGTTGACATCTGAAGGTGCTTGGAAATAACCTGCTTTCCTTAGAATCTCAAGGACGGAGTGAGGTTTTCCATTCTTGCTGTGCAGGAGAATCACCTGGGGAGGCTGGTCTGTTTGTCCCTCTGTCACGCCCTACTTTTGCCTAAGCCCTTCCTCCAGAGGTTCTGACTCTGCTCCCTATGGTGGGGGCTGGGCATCCGTTGTACAACCTCCCTGGTGATTCTAGTGCATGACCTGGGCTGAGAACCAGGCCAGAGTAATTCTCCCTGGAGCAGCTACAGGCCCTTGGGTGAACCCGCCGTGTTGGGTCTGTCCAAGCAAGTCATTCCTCTTGCTACATTCTTCATGACGCTCTCATCTGCACCTGTCAGCACTAATACTAAAACCCTGCACTGCCACAACCCGGGCCTCCTGCACAGCCACTCCTTGTCAGTACCTCTTTCCTATTGGTGCGTTTGCAGTTATAGTTACAGGTCACATAAAACTGTCTTGCTTTCTGTATTAAGATTATGCCTTGCCCTGGCCGGTTTGGCTCAGCGGTTAAAGCGTCAGCCTGCGGTCCACAGAGACCCGGGTTCGGTTCCCGCTAAGGGCATGTACCTTGGCTGCAGTTTGTCCCCGGCCCTGGTTGGGTCGTGTGGGTGGCGGCCACTCGATGTGTCCCTTTCACATCGATGTTTCTCTCTCTTCCTCTCTCTCCTTCCCACTCTATCTGAGTAAAAAATGGAAAAATGTCCTCGGGTGAGGATAAAAAAAAAAAAAAGAAAAAAAGATTATGCCTTAGACCAGTGGTTCTTGAATCTCAGTGGGCAGCAGAATCTCCTGGAGAGCCTGTTAACAGACCGATCTGGGCCCCTTTCTGGAGTTTATGACTCAGGAGGCCTGAGGTGAAGACAGAACTTGCATTTCTAACAAGTTCTCAGGAGAAGCAGATGCTGTTAGTATGTGACCATATTTTGAGAGCTACTGACATAAACCACTGCTATTCAAACCTGTTGCCTGAAAATAAATAAAGAAAATCCCAAACCTCACTACCAAATGGCTGAATTCCATCAGTCTAGTGTAGGGTCTGTTGTGGATGTTTTTTAAGTTCCAGGTGATTCAAATGTACAGTCAGAGGTTGTGCACCTCTGCCTTGCATGCACCCTTATGGGTGCTGGCTCCTCCAACTTGTTCTGGTAGCAGGATGGGCCATCTGAGATGTGCAGGGCTGAGAGGACACAGGACCTACAGGGGGCACACATGTCCCTGATCCCACCAAGCAAAGGCAGAGACTTAGAGCCTGTTCACTTCCAGGAAACTGAGTGGCAAAGGGCGTTGAGTTGTTGCCAGGCAACAGTCACACAAAGGTGGCCTGCTGTCCACGCATCCGGGGCTCTGGTCTGGGTGCTGCTTTGTTCTGGCAGGTTGAGCCCTCGTGGGTCCCGACTTCCAGCAGAACTGCTGCACAAGAACAGCAGAGAAGCCCTGTGCAAGCAGGTGACCCATAAATGACACTAACAGGGAGCACAGAACAAATGGTCCCTGCCAGTTTGAAGAGGCCACCTCCCACATGGAGGGGCGGGACTATGTCAGGGAATATTCTATGGTGAAGATTCCTCTTCAGATAAAGATCTCCTGCCCACAGGATGACAAGGGAGCTCAGCCAATAAATAGTGTTGGGAAAATTGAACAGCTATGTGCAAAAATTTAAACTAGACCACTAACTTACACCTTACACAAGAATAAACTCAAAATGGATAAAAGACTTAAATGTGATTCATGAATCCATAAAAATCCTAGAAGAAAATGTAAGCAACACAATTTCAAACATCACATGCAGCAGAATTTTCCCTGATACAGTGCCTAAGGCAAGAGAAACAAAGGAAAAAAATGAACACATGGGACTACATCAAACTAAAAAGCTTCTGCACAGCCAAAGAAACAACCATCAAAATGGAAAGGGAACCCACTGTATGGGAGAGCATAATTGCCAATGAAACATCAGATAAGGGGTTAATTTCCAATATATACAGAGTACTCATACAACTCAACAAAAGGAAGACAAAAAACCCAATTAAAAAATGGGCAGAGGAACTAAATAGATACCTCTCTAAAAAGGACATACAAATGGCCAAGAGACATGAAAAAATGCTCAATGTCACTAATCATCAGAGAGATGAAAATTAAAACAACAATGAGGTATCACCTCACACCTGTCAGAATGGCCGCCATCAACAAATCATCAAACAAGTGTTGGCGAGGGTGTGGAGAAAAGGGGACTCTAGTACACTGCTGGTGGGAATGCAGACTGGTGCAGCCACTATGAAAAACAATATGGTGTTACCTCAAAAAATTAAAAATTGAACCACCATTTGATCCAG